ACAAAAGCCGATTTGAAGGTGTGGGGCTAAAACCCACCGGTGGCTCTACTGACATGTGAGGGGGGGCAGAGGGGATGGTCTTGGCAGCCTGTGTCCCCAGCCCGTGGCTGCCAGCTCGGGTGCTTCTGGATTCCCCCTGCTCCATGGAAGGGAAACAAGCAGCTGGGAAACCTCCCATAATCCAATGACTTTGGAGGGGGGTCAGTTGTCACTGATTTATTGGTGGCTTTAAGGAAAATAATCTGCTAATGCAGAAGCTTAATACGACAACAGCAAAACATCTGCTAACAAAGAAAGCCAAACTCTAAATGAGTTGTGAAAGCTGCTGCCTTTTCTGGGGTGTGCACTGAACCTGGGCTGCCCGGGCTATGGCCACCAAGATGGCATCATCATCTGATGGACTCCAGAGCCCCTTGTTAGCTAGGGAAGAGTTTAAAATGATGGGTATTGTTTTAAAATAGCATAAAGCTCAATGCAGTGTTGTATTTCCTTTTTAAAACAAGCAGCCTGTTGGGTAACCGAAGCACCTGGGAGGAGTACAGCGCCGGTTGGGTTTTATTCTTTTTATCAGTGGCCCATAGCAAACCAGCTGTGACAAACAAACAACACGGCTGCTGGTGGCAGGGAATTAGTTTTCTCCTCCATCCTGTGTCCTTTAGCTTGATTACTTTTGTTTTTTTTCATGTTAGTTATAACACTCAGAAAAATTCAGCTCTGGCAGATGGGGCACAGGAGAGCAGCCTGGTGTTGGTCTGTCTTTGTGAAAGGCAGTGGCTGCTCGTGAGGCAGCCCACAGAGGGACCGGGGATGTGCAGAAGGACCAGGGGCATGGGGAAGGATCAGGGACATGCCGGAAGGAAATGGGGAATGCTCTGTTTTTTTTGCATCAATTGCATCAATTACAGAGGGTGCACTGTCACCCCAAACTGGGTTTTAGTGGAGGTGAGGGGAGTACTTCCAGGTTCCCCAACAGACCTGTTTCTCTGCACGTCCACGGCGTTGCATGTGATTTTGGGTGCAGAGCCCCATGCGTGCACCGTGCGGCTTTTGGGAGCAGCTGCTGTGCTGGAGCGTAAGCGGAGCTGTGTGGGACCCTGCACACTGGGGAAGAGCCAGGGCTCGGGGTGAGATGAGCTTTTCTCAAGGAGTTATGTGTTGGTGGCCACAGCATCCTGCGCGCTGCACCAGGAGGGATGGTTCCTATCCAGAAACAAAGCCAGCGAGCCCCTCCGCTGCCGCAGCATGTGGCTGAAGGTTTCCTTCATTTGTCAGTTCGCCTTTGCTCTGGATCTTTTCCCAACTGGATGCATGAGGAGGTGCGGCTGGTTTTGGGAGCCCTCCCCGGGGGAGGGACGTTTCCTTTTTTTCTGTGAGAGCAGTGATGGTCCCTTTGGCTGAGGAAGTCCTGACCCATTGCCCTGCTGCGCTGCCCTGGGGCAGGGTTTCCACCTTGAGCTTGTCCCCTTGGGAATGTGGCGCTGGCACATGGCTGAGCGGCCCCATTGCTGTCCCTGTCCCCGTCCTTTCACGACATGAGCAGCACGTGTTGGGACAGCCCCATGGGGACCCCTCTAACCCTGCTGTCTCTCCTGTTCTCTTTAGGAGCCCGGTCCTGCTAAGATGGCTGTGACCAGCAGCAACATCCCTAGTGCGGAGAAGGTCCCGGCCACCAAGTCCACACTTTGGCAGGAAGAAATGAGGGGCAAAGACCAAGTAGATGGGGGCAGCAGCATCAGCCCAGCACAGAGCCCAGTGCAAGGCCAGGCCGGGGCTGCCAACTCCCTGAAGGATGCTGTGCTGGACAGCAAGGAAGGTGAGGGACAAGGGTGCCAGCACTGGTGTGACACTGCAATGACCCAGTTCGGGCAGCTGAGCTGGCAGAAAACCATCATAGAGGGAAAAGTTTTCTGCAGGTTTGGTTCCTGGAGCATCCCAGCAAGGAGGGGGAGGCAGACCTTGTCCCTGCTGTGCGGGGACTGGAGCAAGGTATTACAAGCTGGAGTTCAGGAAGGAAACAATCTGCATCACGTGCTGGAAAATCACAGCATGGGGCCCAATCCTGCCCTAGCAGGGAAAGGGGGCTCCCTGCCTTCACAGGCAATGTTGCCCTCGTGCTGGGGGCAAAACAAGGAGGAAAATGCCTTTTGTAGCCTGTTTGCATCCCTGCCTGGGGCAGCCGGAGGGCAGGGGCTGTGCTGCACTCAGCTCAGCTGCCGGTGCTGCCAAACACTGCTTCCTTCTCTGGCCCCTGCGTCAGGGCCCTGTTTACATTTGGTCTCCCCAGTGAGTCCCTGGAAGGCGCCGGGGCCGCAGCATTGTTCTCCTTGGAACAATAGGGGTTGGGGACTCTTCCTGCCGGGCCGCGGACAGGTCCCCTGCGCTGCAGCCGTTTCCTTTATCTGCCCGCTCGGATGGGGAACGCTTCCCACCCACGCCTGGCTGCCAGGAGCGGGGTGTCCCATCGCCTTGCACCCACGGAGCTGTGGTCGATGCTGGCCTGGGAAGGACTGGGATAGAAATGGGTGCAGAGTGGTGACTCTTTCTTGGTTTGAAGGTTTTGGTCTTTCATTTGTGCAAGCTCGACCCAAGGGTTGGACCAGCATCCCCAGCTCCCTGCAGACTGTCCCACCATCGCTGTGGGCATGAAGGATGGTCACAGTGGAAAAGCCAAGGGTGCAAGAGGTGGCACCGCGTGGGGCTGTGGGGCTCTTGTTTCCTGCCCCTGTCCTGGGTGGAATCAGTGGGTTTTTTTGTTAAAAGCAGAACTCAGACTTGAAATCAAGTGCAGTGACTTTTCCATCCCTTAGATGAGAACTCCATGAACGGAGACCGGATAGACTGTGGGCGGAAGACGCGTGTCGAGAGTGGGTACTTCTCCTTGGAGAAGACCAAGCAAGACTCTGGACACAAGTATGTCTTGTATTATCAGTATATGACGTGGGATGTCCTTAGTGCCAGCGGGCAAGTGTCACCCTGCCTGGCTGCACTGGGACAGCGGGCTGAGGTGGGTGATGTTCAGTGGCTGTATTTGCAAGCAGGCCCACCCTTCCCGTCCCCTCCCGGCACATGCTGGCAGCTGGCACCATTAATTAGGTTAGCTCTCTAAATGGTGTTAGTGCTGGGTGTGTTACGCAACTGCCTAATGAGCTGAGAGAGGTTTCAAAATGTCACGGCATTAATCTGGGAGAGGAGAGGTGGGTGCAGTGCCGAGGCAGGGCTGCAAAACAGCTCAGTGCAGAGGAGGACGGGGAGGGCATCCGCACACACGCCTGCACTGCGCACCAGCGTGCTTGGTGCTCTCCGGGCAAGGCGAAGGATGGGCTCGACTTGCCCTGGGAGAGACGCATTTATGCTGTGAGGGCAGCAGAGCAAACCAGGAGACAGGCCCCGGGCGAGAGGGCCGCCTGCCAGTCTGATTTTCTTGCCCTGGTTTTCCTCCGGGCATGTTCTCTCTCGCACAGTTTCAGCCGACATCTCCTCTGTCTCTTCCCAGCCCCTAAAGGACTGTTTTCCAACCTGGCTTCCTCGCACTGAGAGCTGGGATTGGGTCTGAGGAGGGTGGTGCAGCTTTGTGCCGATGCCACTGGTTGGCAGGAGGATGCCAAACCCAGCCCAGCCTCGGCAGCGTGCATAGAGAGCGCCAGGCTGGGGATAAAGAAGAAGAGCATGGGGTTGGCTTTCTATGCCTTGGGAACGGGGTGAGAGGAGTATAGAAGGTCCCCTGGCCACCCTGGCTGGGGACGGGGCTAAGGAAGGGCTGGTGGCTTCTGGTTTGCAGGCTGGACTGGTGCAGCGTGTGGGCCCGGGTGTGGGTAAGACGTGTACCTGCTGGGTTTGCTTGCACAGGACGCCCTGGCCAGCGCCTGCCCCCGTGTGAGAGGACAGCACGTTCCTCCGGTGCTGACAGTCCCTCACTCTGGCCTGGGGGGTTTCATGCACCACTGGGATCCAGCACCAAGCTGGGATGTGCTGGCTGAGGACAGGGAGGAGCAGATTTACAGGCAGATAACGGGGCCCAGGAGAGGATGCTGCTGGCAGAGACTGTCCTTTTTTAATGTCAGCCCCACTCATTGCCTGCTGGCGGGTGCCTTTTCCCAGGGAAAATCTGTTTTTCCCATCCCAGCTGGGCTCCTGGGGCTGTTAACAGGTTTTTATTGCTTTATTAGTATTGGCAAAAATTCCCCTATGTCAGCCCAGGGCCTTTTATCAGAGCAGGATGGGTGTAGGGAGAGGAGTGGGCACTGCATGGGCTGAGCCCAGTCCAGCATTTGGGAGGGGGGCGATGGCAGAGAGTAGGGCGAGGGGCTCACACCTGCCAGAGGGTTTGACTGGGTTTGGCCAGAGATCGCAGCCCACGGTGCTAGAGGAGTGTGCCGTGAGCAGGGACGGCTCCACAGACGGTGTTTAGGGACGGGCATGTTTGCTTTCTCCTCTGGTAGCCGGGGAATTGGCCTAGTTCAGGGGGTGTGGGCAGAGGGGCTGTGTGTCCTGGAGCTTGAGTGGACTCGGCAGGGCACGGCGAGGCAGTCCAGCATCACACCAGAGAATTAACATTCACCAGCAACCTGCTCAGCTTGGCTTAGCTGCTTTTTAAATTTGAGTTTATGTAGTCCACATATCCCTCCCATTTTTCTCCTCCAAGCTCAGGCTGTGCTGTTTGAGGTTGAGCAAATACAATAACTCACTTCCATGCTGTGGGGTCAGCTTTTTCCCCTGGATTTAACACCATTTCTAATAATCCTTCTCAGTAACGCACTAACACGTCCAGGAACACTTGCCTGAAATCACTTGCCCAAATGCCAACCCCATAGGCACCAGCCAGGCATCATTCAGATCTGCCTTTCATGTCTCAGTGCAGCCAAACTTGCTCCGATTCCACTGATATTTTTGTCTCTTCCTCCCATATTTTTTTTTTGTTTGTTTACCCACTTTAAATGTCAGGGCTATGGATGGAAAAGAATTCTTTTGGGTACCCAGTGCGGCATCCTGAGTTTCAAGGCTTCTTGTCCTGTTCCCTTATAATAAAGAGATATAATGTGACTTAAGTCCAGGACTGTGCTGGAAATTTTCTGTGTTGACCATTTATACCTGATGCTGACTCCACACCCCATGCAGACGTCTGAGCTCGCAGCCACTCAGAAACATGAATCAGAAAACAGGAGATAATCTCTAGGATTTTGGTGGAGCGGCAGCATGCGAGTTCCCTCTGCTGGCACGCAGCATGACGGGGCTGCCGGCACTGCGCTGCCCCCACCACGCTGCCTGCACGGCGCAGGGATGCCCAGCCAGGTCGCGGGAGAGTGCTGTGCCTCCGGTCTCCTGCCTCATCCCTAGGGAGAAGGAGCAGGGGAAGCTCTTTGGAAACCCCATGGATGAACCTTGAAGCCTGTTTCACACACAGCTGGAGGGGGCTGCAGGGACACCCTCGGACATCAGTCCTCTATCCCAGCAGGGCTCTGCAGCCACAGGGATAAATCCTGGCACATCTCAGGAGGGTGCCAGCAGCTTCAGGAAGGAGACCACCCTTGGGTGGGGAGTCTTTGGGGTGCAGAAACCTGGAGCCCCTTCTCCTGGGTGTGCGGCTGTGGGCTCGCCCACCTCCTGCAGCTCCCTAGGGAGTGTTGGGATTTCTGGTTGGCAGACTTGGCTTTTCTTGCACATTTCCAGGGATGCAGCCTCTAAAACCACAGCTTTCCCAGTTGACCCCACATTCTGCTCATGCTGGCAAGGGTCCGTTGTGGCATCTGCCGTGTCTGCTGTAGGAGGGTGGTCAGGGGGATGAGGCATATTTCTAGCCTCAATAAATAGCAGAGCTGCCTGAAATTGCTTAAAAGACTTTACTTTCTCAAATTCCTTCCTGGAGTGTCTTGAGTTGTAAGGCTCTGCTCTGAATGCTGTTTCTACAGAGCAGAGCGCCTGTTCTCCCAAGCATAGTTGTTTTTTTTTTTTCTTGTAAAACTATCCTCTTCATTTTTGTGGACCTTTTGGAGAAATTCCTCTTCCTTTTCCTGACACTTACTGTCTTTCTTTCTGCTAAATAATGAATGAATCCAATAAAAACAAGCCCTTTCTTCCAATCAAAGAAAATCACTTTAACGATAGCTCGTGCTGGTCTTTATAGCTTTCCTTCCCACCGCACACACCCCTCCACCTAACAGCTGAGATCTGCATCTCGGGTTTAGTGGCCTGGAAAATATTAACAGCCTGCATGGCCGAGGAACTCCTCGGGATGAGCTTTGTAGTTGAGAAAGCACTAAATGGCGCCGCAGCTTTTAAAACGCTTCTTCGTACCTGTCCGCAGCCTTGTTTTGTCTACACGGAGCTGCTGTTCAGAGGGAGCAGCTCTCTCCTTGGCACAGTGTGGAGAAGAGAGCCCTACCCCTCCCCGTCCCCCCAGGATCTCTAAGCTGTAACCTTTCTGAAATGTTGAGCTAATGGGAAAAAAAAACCCCGATTCTTTCCTGTAATCTGGATGATATTAACCCTTGGGGCTGTGATTTGGTAGCAGTGATTTATTTTTCTCCTCCCTTTTTCAATGATGAATTACTGGAATGATTTTGATTTTGTTTTGTATGTAGATGCAGATATATAATTTCCTCTTCTGTTCATTCATTTTCCAGCCTTGTTTTCTTCCAGGTCTTGTTGCTCTCCACCTTCTCCTGCTGTGTTGCTGTGTGACGTGTCCGCCTTTACTTCGCCTGCTTCGCTACCATCTCATCTCAATCTCAAGCCGTAGAACAACTTGGTGGTGCAGCCCCTTTCATGAGAAATCAACCTGCTTTTGATTTTGGGTTTTTTTGTTTTGATTTGTTTTTTTGGTTGTTTTTTTTCTTCTGATTTGTTTTTCTTCAGGCCTTCACCTAATAGGGCTCAGACAATGTTAATTCATTGACCTCCCTCCTAAACTGAGACTCAGAGAAGGCTGGGCCAGTGTAAAAAGGGTTAAGAAATTGTGACTCCAAAACAGTTATGAAGGAGGTGGATTGATGCTCTCGACAGGCTGGCTTATGTGAATGGACATCTCGGGAGCAGAACATCCCACAGAGATTGGGAGCTCTGCGTGAGCCTAGGATCTGCCCGCTCCCAGTCTGCAAACTGGGAGGCAGCAGGGGCTGAACAGGTGTCCCATAAAATCATCCAAGGTGTTTGAATTTACAAAGCAAAGTATTCCCCACCAATTTTGTCCCTTCCTCTTTGGTTGTGGGCTTCAGCTCCCAATCCTGGCAGCCTGGCTCTGAGCAGCAGTGGGGTGGGCCCCTGGTTTGCTGGGGGATGTGATGTGCTCAGACTGTTCGTCTCATTTATGGAACTTAGTGCAAATGTTGGTTGAAAACTGAACATCTCATGTTTTTTGAGTCCTTAACCTGCTGTTTCTTTTTATGGAAAGTGTTAAAAATGGATATTTTTAGATAACCTGTTTCCCCTCATGTGGTTGCCATTGTGATTTTCATGCACGTTAGAGGTCCATGCAGAGCAGGCAGTCCTGAGTTTAGATGTGGCAGACGTGGATCCAAATTTTATGTCAAGAACCCACCTGGATTGAGCATTCTGGGGAGGTTCAAAATTGAGTTTTAAACCTCACAGCCTGGAGCTCAGCTGGCGTGTGTGGTGGTGGTGGGTTATTGCTTCACATTCCCAGGTTGTGATTAAAGACCTGAGGTTGCTACTTGCCCAAAACCCCTGGGCATGCAAACTTTGACACCAGCAGGTCCTTTGAAAATTCCAGTATTTCCTCTCCTGTGGGTCAGCAAGCAGCTTTTTATGCTGAAATGGCCCTTTTAATTCCACCTGCAAAGGCCTGTTGTTTGCTCATTCTTAGGAGCATCCCATTTGGGTTTGGTCTGGGGTTGGCTCCTGCTCCACCCACATTTCTTCATAGTTCTCCTCCATCCTCAGAGACGTGTGTGCCACGGTGTGATGGGCCACCAAGGCAGTGTCTGAGAGCCCAAGTTGTGCTCCCTGCTGTCCATACCAGATTTGCAGACCAGTTTGAGAGGAGGGTTTTGCAGGGGATGCCCTGCCATGCCTGCACAGGGTGCTCCTCATTCCCTTGTGCCTCTTCAGCTGGTGCACCCTGCGAGCCAGACCCCTTGTCTGGAGGCACCTACAGGCACTCCTCACTCAGTGCAGTCCTGTGGATGGATGTTACCCGTGTGGGGCTGAGTATACAGGGTGAACACGCAGGGTGACATGAAGCCATCTCTGCACCCCAGCTTGGTCTGATATGTCTGATCGGTGGCTGGGGGAGGGCATTGGTAGCTGCAGTGCTAGAGAGTAAAGACAAAGCTTAACCCAAAGCTTCTCAATAATCCCTGTTTCTCAAAGGGCTATAAAATTTACAAGTAAAAAGTTATTTCTGGTTTTTCAAGGGTTTTCTAGATATTTAAAGAGTTTTGTGGAGCTGGGTAGCATGAGGTTTTTCCCCGCTTTGGCTGTGGGTAAAATGATACATGTCAGATCGGGGCATTTTGCCCTGGATTTCTGCACGCTAGAGCTTGCAGAGAAACAGGGACCAAAAGCCAGGTGTGCACGAACACTGGGTCGAGCAATTCTGCAGCCTTACATTTGTGGGATTGTACAGCTCAGCGCAGTTGCTGTTCTTGTGTTTAAACCGGCTCTGGTTTCCCCTTTCTCTGTGTTTTGCAGGCGATCCCAGGTCATCGAAAAATTTGAGGCATTAGATATTGAGAACGCAGAGCACATGGAAACGAACGTGTCGGCTGGTGCTGCTCTTTCCAGTGAGACGCGGCAGGGCAGGAGCGAGAAGAGGGTTTTCCCGCGGAAACGGGTGAGCTGCTGAGCTGAGGTCTCGTGGTGGGGTTTGGAGTTTGTCACCAGGGGTCCAACAGCCCAGACTAGAGTGTTCAGCTATAGGGTTTGTCCATGGGTGGAGCAGGGGATTTGGAGTCGCAGACAGGCTCATGCAGGAGCCAAACCGCTGTGTGTGCTCAGTCTGTGCAGGTTTGCTGCTTGCTGCTCTGCTCCCTTGGCCCAGCTGCAGGTCAGAGTGGAAAATCAGGCTGTCTTTTTTGCTTCCTCCAAAATAGAAAGAGGGAAACCAGATCTGGCATGGCAGGACACGTCAGGATGGAGTGAAATAACAAGAGAAAGAGGCAGTCTTGAGAGTCCCAGATATGCTTAGATATATTGAGAACAAATTAATGCCTGAGAGGACAAAAAAAATGTATTGCCAGTGAAATGACACTTGTTCTGAGCCCAAGATGCCCCTTAAATATGTGGATTTTTATGCCATGAGCCAAGAGAGTGGTACTCGCTGGCCTAGTTCCTGCGCTGATCTGGGCTAACGCTGTTCACACAGGACTTCACATGTGAAGGTGCAGCTGTGGGCTCCATCCTGGATGTGTCTGCGTCTCCTCTGTCACCGCATCGCCGGGCAAAGTCACTGGACAGGAGGTCCACGGAGTCCTCTATGACGGTGAGCCAGCGGGCCGTGTCCTCTGCCTTGGGGGAGGATGTGAGAGGCCTTTCCTGGGCAGGTCCAGTAGAAACTGGGCTGTCTGCTGCTTTCCTCGTAGCCAGCATGTAGGATGTAGGATACACTCGGATTCGGAGCAGGTTTAGGTGACTTGGCTTCACACTTCATCACGCTTGACGTGTTAAGGAGAGGTAACACACGGCCTAGTTTCCTCATGCTGCTTCCTTGATGTTTATGCAGTTGCAAGTGGGTGTGAGCGGGACGAAGGCTGCGAGGAAGGGCTGAACCTGCCCTCCTGAGCTTTCCTCCCTTTGCATATTTCAAATGCTCACCAGACCTGGAGGCAAACAGTACAGAACAAACACAAAATGCTTTCCTCTCACTCACCACCCTTCTGTAGGAGCAAAATAAACATACTTGCTAATCTTTCAAAAAGATTACAGAGCCACTGTAAATACAAGCTGCATTTTTCGTGGATGGACATCTTCTGATGAAGGATATCTCAGGAAAAGGCAGTAGCTTAGCATTTCTATAGTAGCTTTTCATGTAGACTTGTACAGCCATAAGAGTGATTTTTAAATTCTTGTCCTTAATAAAAAGGTGCAAGAAGTGCACATAAAGTGGCGATGCACATCATGTAGTGAATGCAAGAAAATCATGCAGCCAGTGGGAAGAAAACCTTTTCCTTGCATTAAATACACCTCTGTTGTGCCACTCCTGCTATAAAAGTAGCAACATAAGAAAAACCAGCACATCTGCTAGCTTGCAACCATGATTGCAAGACTCTCCCCTGCCCGTCATGTTCGTTGTGTCAGATCAGATCAGTTATCCTTCAGGATAAAAGCCGAGGGAGAGTTTATCCCTCGTTGGGCTTGGAGCCGTGGCTTGCACTGCATTGGTATCTCTTCCATCAAATGCTTAGTCTGGTTTTGGTTTCTAATGTTTACACCCTTCAGTGGCAGCTGGTGCCAGACTTTTCATGCTTCAGCAGCTTTGCAGCTTCGGGCAAAGCCAGTGCTCTCCTGCCTGCCCGAGCACTCGGAGGAGAGCGGAGGGGTTTCTGTGGAGGAGCAGGACCTGCAGGAGAAACCTTCCCCCTCTGGCTGCTTCCATAGTGTCTCGCTGCTGCCCATTCTGAAATGTGCATATGCTGTTTAGCAGCATCTTTCCTCTCTGACTGCTTATACACCTTTGCTTAAATTTTAAGGAAACTAAGAAATGTAGTATGAATGCTGCTAAGGAGAGATTTATCTGGTTTTGCAGAAGGTTCTTGCCCTGTGCTTCTTCCCAGATAATAATAACAAGCCCAGAGCAACTGCAACACTTGCAGTCCTGTTTTCCTTCCCTGCAAACCACATGGTTGGGAGCTGGTTATTTTTGATCCAAAATGTAGATCCTTTGCTTGATGCTCTCCTGTTGTACCAGAAAGAGACTAAACAGGACCCAGATCCTGGAAGCACAATCCCACCTGCACATCAGCAGAGGAGAAGCAGGCACGTTGTGGTATTGCTCTCTCGGGGTAAATTAGGGCTGAGATTAGGATGCCCAACTCTCATAGCCAACTTCAGCGATGGAGGTAGTCGTTGCAAATGCCATTTTCTCTGTAGTTTGTTCGTGGCTTATTGCTGCCTCGTCAGCAGGTCCTGCTGGGGCTCGGCGGGTTTGTTGCCTGCCGCCACATCACAGCCAGAGCTGCTCAGTCTGGCATTCCTCTCCCTCCTCTGATTCTCTAGGGATCTGGGAAGGGCAAGGTGGCATTTACTTTCCCCTGTGTTTTTGTGGAGTGGCTCTGGCTCTGGCTTCCCACCACTGTGGGAACACTCAAATGTGGGATGTGCCACCCCACAGCATCGGTTTGGTTGAACAGGCTTCCAGAGCCCAGTTTTCCATTGCTTCCCTTGCTGTAGCCTGTTTCAGACGCTACAGCTGCATTTCACACACTGCTGTCCTTTCCTCCTCCGCTCTGCAGCACATGAGCAGCTGGAGGAGCTCAGCCTCGAGGGAGTGAAAGCATTTCTACCACATCCTTCCCTGCATGCAGGCAGGGCTGGGAGGAAGGGCTGGTGGGAGTTATCCCACGCTGTCTTGGTTGCTTTTCTCAGAGCTTCAGCATCATGATGCACCCACTGCGGGGGATAGAGCAGGTGTCATCTGGGTGGTGCAGTGCTGGGATTCCCTGTGTTTCCAGCCTTGGGACCTCGGTGTTATTTTGAACCCTTCAGCCTTGCATCAATAGCACATAGTTTGGCCTTCTTAATATACAATAGAGGGACAAAACTGCCTGCAGTCCTGTTAATTCCTTGCTTCTCCTTCCTCTGTAATGCTGGTTTAGCAGTAGGAAATTGCAAGAGAAGTGCTAGGAAAGGAACAGCCTGAATAAACCGTACAGCAGGCTTCTGTTCCTCCTGGGAGCAAACGTTTAACCACCACACGGTATAGTGATCCAGTATGGACTAGATGAGCTTTAAAGGTCCCTTCCAACCCAAACTATTCTGTGATTTTATGAATTTAACTGTTGCTGGTCTCTTTTATTGCTGCACTGTGTTTTATCAAGCTACTGCTGTTGTCTTCTGGGTGCAGACACTTCTTCCCTCCCCTCTGATCACCTCTCTCCTTTCTTGCAGCCTGACCTGCTGAACTTCAAGAAGGGCTGGTTGACAAAGCAGTATGAGGACGGGCAGGTGAGTCCAGGGGAATCTCTGCCCTTCGCTTCAGGATTCAGTGCCACCATCAATCCTGGTTTCTGGCAGCTGACACCCACTCCGACATCCCGGCTGTGCGGGCCGCGCATGGGACGGTTCTCGGCGCTGATGAAGCCCCAGTGTCCTTGCAGGGTAGATCAGTGCTGGGCCATGCTCCAGATGGGAGAAACCAGATGTAGACACTTGGGCAAAGCAACGACAGGGAATTTGTACAACTCTGGAGCCAGGCAGCAGTGTTTGTGTGTGAGCCCTGTGCAAACAGTGTTTGTCTTGGAGCAGAAATAGCTGGTGCTCTGTCCTGTGGAGGTTTCAGAGCCCCACAGCTGGATATCGTGTCATGGGTTTCTAGGGAGCCAGGGCAGCTTGGATAGCAGCACTGGTTTCGTGTTCCCATTCTCTTATTAAGTCTCATCTCCCTTGCGACTCAGCAACCTCTTTGGCGTCAGTAATGAGGCTCAGATAAGGTCTCCTGAGTGCTGGAGAAATGGCAAGGCCAAGAAATAAATAAATGCCTCTGAGCTGGCACTGAGGGAAGCAGCTGCTGCCGTTTTCATCCTGTCCATTCCTGGAGAGATGTGGGATGTGCTGCTCTCTCGGAGCCTTAGCAATGGGCACTGATGCCCTGGCTGTTTGCAGACCACCCCTTCTCTGGATTTCTTTCCTTCCCACTCAGCCCATGGAGGGAAAACAAGGGCGACTCGCCCACAGCTGTGAGTGCCATGGCCTGGGCTCCACTTCGGGTATGTGCTGGTGTGTTGGGCCCTGGGGCCAAGGGCACATCTGTAAGCATGTCTGTAGGCAGCTGAAGGGGGAATTAGCTGCTGGAGCGAGTGCTTTGTTAACTGAAACCTGCCTGGGGTAAGCCTGTGCCTCACTGTGAGCATGCAGAAGACGTATTTGTATACAGCAAGGGCCAGCTCAGTTTCTAGGTACTGCAGATAGAACACAAATGATACATGAATGTGGTGCAGCAGTGCTGGGGAAATTGGGGTCCTGGTGGTGCAAACCATCACGATGTCCCTTGCACTGCTGCCTGTTCGGGTCTCCCCTTCCCCACGGGAGAGCCTCTTGGTGAAGCCGGTGCTGAACTGGGAGGGGAGAGGCTGGAGCGGCCTCCCTGCGGGGCATCTCTGCCGGTGGCCTGTGACAAGCTGCTCGGGCTCCGCTGGGGGGACAGAGCAGGATTGTAACTACCCCATCTTGGTTGTTTCCTAGTGGAAGAAACACTGGTTTGTGCTGACCGACCAGAGCCTGCGATACTACCGGGATTCAGTGGCGGAGGAGGTAAATGTCTTCCTCAGCAGTGTTCAACCCATCGTTCTGCACCCAGGGGAGCCCCAGGTGCTCCCAAACTCTGACCCTGGGCAGGTTGTTTCCCCAGATGCCACCAAAGTCCTGGGGCATCACTCTTCAGGGCTTTGTGCTTTTCGAGGACCTGCTGCATGCCTCCCTGCGAGCCACCACACTTTGGGGTTGCAAAACATTCTGGCTTATTTTACCTCTTCCCTTTCCAGGCAGCTGACCTGGATGGAGAAATTGATTTATCCACGTGCTATGATGTTACTGAGTACCCGGTTCAGCGAAACTATGGCTTCCAGATCCATGTAAGGAAAACATGGGGAGGAGGAGGATTCTGTTTGCAAGATGGCTGGTGGGGCTGCTCATGCTGTGCCGCTGCTTGGGGATGCTCATCCATGGCAAGGGAAACATCCCCCCAGACACCTAAGAGAGGCCACCTGGCATCCCCCACAGTGCTCCGGAGAACTGTGGCCTTGGGTTTGAGAGGCATATTTATTTGGTTCACAAAAAATGGAGGGGGAAAGGGAAGGTTTTGTCTCAGCCTTAGTCTCTCAGCTACAAGAAAACCAGCCTGATTGCTGAGAAATGCTAATTCCCACCGTGAGCCTGCTGCAGGGTGGAGGGCCTGGGTGAGATCTCCCTGTGGCTGGCAAGCCGTGCCCCAGTGCTGGGTTCTCGGGGCTGGGTGCAGGGTGGTATTGGGGGTGGCAAGGTGCTGGTGGGTGCAATCAGCTGCTCAGAGCCGGTCCTCCTCTCTCCTAGACGAAGGAAGGGGAGTTCACCCTCTCCGCCATGACGTCGGGCATTCGCCGCAACTGGATCCAGACCATCATGAAGCACGTTCGCCCCACGACTGCTCCCGATGTAACAAGGTAAAGAGGGGAGTTTAGCAGTCTTTGCAGTTGTCTGAGTTGCTGTGCAGGAGAAACTCTTCCCCTATCTCCTTTTTTTCCTCTTTCTGAGCCTGTCCATTCCTGAAAGCTGTGGCTCTTTGTCACGTCCCTCTCTCTGGGCTTAATTTGGATACCCTTTGTGGGGATGCAGATATGCTGAGTTACTCTTACACTTGCAGATTTCAAAGAGGGTTGAAAATGTGGCTTTAATTTGTGCATAGGAATATGAAATACTGTTTCTATCTCAAGGCTCCTCTGGATTCCCACCAGGTATTGTGAAACCACTTGGATTCAGTTGTGCTGGGTTCCCCCTTTCCTCTGGCTACTGTTCAGCACGAGCTGCCCATCCCCTCCACGGGTCACGGCAGCACGAGCCCAGGGTTCAGTTTAGAAGCTGTTTGGCTCTGATATATTTTAAACTCCAGCCAGCAAATCGTCTTCCCTCCTCTTTTGATCTTCCAGATAGCCGCTGCAGCTCATTCCCCTTACGCGTTAGTAATGCTCGCATCTCCTCCTGCCATCAGTGCCAGAGGAAGGGACCCCCCCCTGCTTCACAGAGTATCTTCTGTGAGCACTTGCGGCTGCGGGTAAAGGGTGTTTGACCTCCTCACAGCTAACCGCGCCAGCCACACCTACGGGCCACCTCTTACAGGCTTCCTGGACACGGCCGCACCATTAACTCCGTCTCCTGTCCTTACTGTAGCTGCAACGAGCAGGTTTTTGCCAGGTTTGTCCCAGCGTTGGTGGAATGGCTCTTCGCACCCAGTGCTGTTGACCTGGAGATGTTCCAGCCTCTCCTTCCCCATCCCGCTTGGCACTCGGCCACCATTTCCCAGCCCTGCCCGAGCTCTGGTGGATCTCACGGGGGTCTCGGGGAAACCGCCTCTCTCCTCACTCCTCTGTATCTTTGATTTCCATGCAATCCCAGGAAAAACTTCTCTTTGAAACTATCCGTGCTGAAGCCCAGGTTGGAAAACTGTGTTCTCTCCTGTATTAACGTTTTGTGGTTTGTATATCTTGTGATTCACTGCATGCTCCTCCTTTTCTGCACCTCGGATGGGAAGTCCTGCAGTTTCCATTTATTTTTCTTTCTTTTCTTTTTTTTTTTTCCCTCCTTTTTTTTTCTTTAAATAAAAGCCAGAGAGAAGGGAAGAAGCAACCTGGTCTTGACACTTGATTTGCCCACACTGGTATCTTCCGATGTGACTAGATATGAAGATGAAGACCAAGGAAATTTGAGGGGACTTCTCTGCCAGATATATTTGTAGCCTAAGAGGTTACTGCAGCACAGTAATCCTGTGCTCACTGTCTTTGCATCGGCTCCAAGCCCACATGAAATGGTTTGACTTGGCTGACCCTCATGAGAGGGTCCAAGCGCAGGTACCAGTTGGGCAGTAACTTGTTACACTGCATAAATAGACCGTGGATCTCAATCCTGACCTGGGGAAAAGGGAATTACAAGTGCACGTCTGTCGTTTTCCACCGAGCTGGTTTTGGACAGGGTAGAGTCTGGCGTGGGTTAGTCACATTGCTGAGAAGTTGTTGCTGTGAGCTGAAGGGCTGCGCTGTGCCTGCAGCAGGGCCCCTGCTCACAAGCCCTTTGCCACGGCGTGGGGTATCCCAGCCGTCCCACCTGGCTTTGGGCACGTCGTTAACATCCGCACCCGGGGAGTGGCTTGTGAACGGGGCTGCTGGAAAGCCGAAGGACAGACTGCCAAAGGCTCGCGATGGAGAGCTGGCAAACGTCTGCACAGCACAGCCAGGGTGCAAGAGGGATGTTTTCGGATGCTGGGCTGTGCTGGGAGGGCGGTGATGTTTGCCCCATCCCCGGGGCCTTTCCAACTCTGCACACTCCTGCAGCCTTCTGCCGTGTCTCATTAACCTGCTGCCGTGTCTCCACCGAGCCAAACACATTTTCTCGGTTACTCAAGTCCTAATTACTGTTTATATTGCTGCGTGTGTCAGCACCCGGCATGGGGGGGGCAGATCCTGTGCTGCTCCCTGCCCTCGGCAGTGCCCTGCAGTCTCCAGAGACACTAAATACACTTTGGTAACGATGACCGTGCAGATATAAAATACCCACAAGAAAAAAGGTGGCTACTTCGGCACTGGGTCCTTGTTCAGCTCCCAGCCCCGGTGAGGCTGAGTCCCCCAGTGCCCTCCCAGTTCCCTGCAGCCTTCATGTGCTCCTTGCACGCTGCGGCAGCATGCTCGGCTCACAGCTTGCACCACTCTCACAGCCACCCGTATTAAAAACCCCCACTTTTTCTGTTTTGACCTATAAATACCATTGTGAGGTAAAGACACCCCCCCTCCCATGTGATGTGAATTAATTTGTCTGGGATGAAGGCGATGTGAAACATTTGAGCAGAATTAATAGCCATGGGGCACTTGTGGGTGATGAAACGAGAAACTTCGGGTCAGACTTCTGAGTCTCTTAACTTAGTTCCCAGCGGCCTTCCCTCCACTCCCTGACACACATCCCATGCCCTTTGGAAAGCAGCAGAGGAGAAATGAACTCGTGAGAGATATCACCTCTAGAAATGCCAGGATTCTTCCCCATGGTATTTAGAGCAGCATAATTTCTGTCTCTCAACAACATCCAAGGGGCCCCGGAACCCCCTTTCTTCCTAGCACTCTTCTCCATTTTAAGATTCCTTCTCATTCCTACTTTACTTACTTAAAATGCAGCTGTAATCACTAACTGACTCCAGATTTAGTGCCTGGCTTTGGAGTCTTGCAGTATCTTCTAATGGTTGAGGAGCAAGGAGGTTTCATCGTGGTGCCTTTTGGGTTTATTTTACTAGCTGCAGGTGACAGAACTGAAGAAGGGATTATCTCCGAGCTGGTTTTAGCCTGTAACTGCCAGACTTTCCTGAAACCCAGCTCTACTGAGCCTGTGGTTTGATCATGGATGAAAGTGCATCGGAAGATACTAGCCCCAGACCCATGCAGAGTCATCTCTTCTGCTCCATTCTTTATTTTGGGTGTATGCATATACATGAGGTTGTTGGCTGCGGGAGCTGGGGTGTGTTACCAAGGTGGGAGGAGAAGCCATGCTGCTGCTGCTCCCTCCCAGTCCCGACAGGCTCGGTGCATGCGGTCCCGGGGGGGTCAGAGCCCCCTTAGCGGTGATTCGCCTGCAGCGAAGGGCCCGGGGAGCTGCTTTCCAGCTCTTCCCAGTGCACCCTTCTGGAAAGCTTGTGGAGGCTGCGCTGGAGGCTGGAGCCCGGGGGGATGCTGTGGTTGAACTGGAAGAGAGGAGAGCCTGGAGTCAGCCAGAGCACCAGGGCTGTGCCTCAGGAGGCATTTTGGGGGTTCCTGATAGCCAAGAGAGTTCAGCAAATACCTGCCACTCCCTCTGCAAACGTAGCATACTGCTATTTTCTTTTTTAATTTTGATCTGCATGTTACAAGGCTGGCATGTCTACATTTAATAAGCTAATACTGCATTATGGATTATCCGTAGGTTGGAAACAGTATTGCTTTCCCCTGTTAACTTTCCCTGCTTGACGAGTATGTCTTCCCTCACCACCCTCTAACTCAGCACTAAAAATCATTCCTTGCTTGAGAAATCGGCATTTTCAGTGACTTCCACAGTGTGTTGAATAACTCTTGCTCTCCTTGCTGCACCGACAACTGCACATACAGCGTGCAGCCCCCATGCCAGGGTGGCTGCACAGGGAAGGTCTGTGCCTTCAGTGCAGATAGTGGCACGGAGAAGTTTTCGATCCATTAATACCCCGACTTTGCCAAGCTCATGGAAAGCCTTCCTCCTGTTACCCAAGACCTCTGGGAGCTGCTCTGTGCTTCTCCGCCCCACAGCTCTGAAGCCAGACTGACTTTGGTGGGACTGGTGGCATCCTCCCCGCAAGCACGTGACTATTGGCTGCATCAACCGGCGTGTGTGCATGGAGCCCCGCAGCCAGGGAGGCGGGCGGCGAGCCAGCCGGAGGGTGCCGGAGGAGCTTTTGAAGCCTCTTCCCTGTCTGGCAGGACAGTTCGGGGTCGCTGCCTCGGCCATGGGCTGCTGCTGTGTCGTGGTCACTGGCCCTGGGGCAGCTGCCAAGAAGGAGTGAGGTTGGGATCAGCCGCTCTCTCCGGGGGCCAGGGGGTGCCCAGGAGCAGCCAGGGCCGCTTGCACCAAGGCTTCGCACACCAGCACAACCCCAGGGAAGGGCAGGGGCATCTCCTGTGCCCGAGAGGCGATGGGAGATGGAGGGGCCGCGGGCACCCACGTGGCATTGGCTTGGGCTTCCAGCAGCCCCTTTCCACCTGGCTCTTCGAGGCATGCATGGGAGCACCTGGCCGTCTCGAGCACTCACTGATGCTTTTCTTCACCCTCTTTCTGTCCTCACAGCTCCCTGCCAGAAGAGAAAAGCAAAACAAGCTCTTCCTTTGAGACTGGTCCAAAGCCGAGCGAGAAGCCGGATGCGGAGCAGGCTGAGCTGGACCCAGAGCAGAAGCGGAGCCGTGCCCGGGAGCGCCGGCGAGAAGGACGTTCTAAGACCTTTGATTGGGCCGAATTTCGCCCCATCCAGCAAGCCCTGGCCCAGGAACGTGCAAACGCTGCAGACTCCTCCAAGAGTGGCTCTGCCACCTTCTCCAGGGATGCCGGTGCCACTGAGGCCGACTCGGGAGAGCTGGAGCGGGAGCGGGCCCGGCGGCGGGAGGAACGGCGCAAACGCTTCGAAATGATTGATGCCGTGGACGGGGCAGGGTCGGAAGAGGCTCTAAGGATGGAGGTGGACCGGATCCTGCCCGTCCCGACAGACATCAAACCGCAGAATGTCCACGTGGAGATTGAGCAGCGCTGGCACCAAGTGGAGACCACCCCGCTGCGGGAGGAGAAGCAGATCCCCATCGCGCCTCTGCACCTCGCCCATGCCGAGGACCGGGATGAGGGGCTGACGAAGCAACACTTGACCACACTGCTGGAGAAGGAGGTAAAGCGGGATGTGTGGCGTGCAGGCTGCCTGCTGAAATGGCCTTCAAGCCGCTGCAGGAACTGTAGGAAGCTTGAGCAAGTCTTAAAAAAGCTGCTTTTATTCCTACTTTGTAATAGCAATGAGTGGGGATGCTGTAGGGTCCCTGGGGAAGCTGGCAGAGCACAGATCCCTGTCTGTTCCTGTATGGCTCTGCCAGCAGCTTTCATGTTCCCATGACTGCAGAAAGGGCTGTTCCTGCAAGGGTGGTATTTCATTACCCCCCTCACATTTAACACAGGCTACACTTCTGTTGGTTGTTAGCCAGCCTGCCTCTGATGAGGTGGGTATGGTTGATGTGTATCAACCAGACTCTAAATTCAAGCTCATAATTCTGTGTGGCTCTGCAGCTGTGGAGGTTTGTGTCTGCAGTTATGTCTACAAAACTATAAACTGGCTTGAGTTGTAGCACACACCACAAACGTTCTTTTTTTGTGGAGCCGACATCAAACAGTCTTACGATTTTAAGGAAAGAAGGGAGGAGACTCAGCTCACTTGGAAGAAATCGATGCCTGGGCTAGCAAAGGTTATTGTTAGTTGGGATTAAGGTGTATTAGCAGGAATGATAGGGGTGCAGGCGTGGAGTAACCAGGAGTATCACTGATCTGAACCTGGCTGGGATTTGCCAGGGTCATGCCTGGCACAAGCTGGTGCCATTCATCCTTTGCTGCAGTGAGCTTTACGAATTAAACTAATGCATAACTTAGTTCTTTCAGGGGGGAGGGATTTTGCTTGACAAAATGAAATCCAGATCCCAGAGCAGAACAAAGCAGCAGTGCCATCAAAAGCCCTGTTCATTCTGCTCTGCGGCCCCTCCGAGCCGCTTACTCCTTACAGCCGACCCCCTGCCCACTCCCTGGACGCTGTCTCTGTTCGTGTCCCTCCAGCTGGAGCAGAAGCAGAAGGAGGCCCTGGAGCTCCTGGAGCAGAACCGGCACCTGCAGGACCAGCTGAAAGTGGCACTGGGCCGGGAGCAGAGTGCTCGTGAGGGCTACGTGTTGCAGGTAGGAGAGCAGGGAGGAGAGGGAAATCCATCTTCCTCTGTGCCTGAGGGGGACCCTGGTGGGCTTCAGTCCAGGGTGTTTGTGGGGGCATCTTGGTTGATGCAGGGATGTGCTGTGACCTTCTTGCAAATATTTCTAGTTCTGTAGCCTTACCAGGATCATCTACTTAAAACCTCTGATCTGGAATGCAGTAGACAGAAGATGGCATTACCTACTCGCATTCCCAAGGGAAAGCAAAACACAGCCACGGTAGACATGGGACCTCCCCAGAGTCCACCTCTGACCCGTCCTATACTGTGTTTGCCTGTGCAACAGCTGTTTCCCCTTTCTGTGCCCCAAATACCCCCCTCAGGCAGCGGGGTTCACATAAAGCTTTCTCAGCATCTTGTAGCCCAGCAGTTGCTCCTGGCCGGGAAGTTTGTGTGGTGGTTACATGGGCAAACACAGCACACTTAAGAGAGTATCTCCTGGGCCCATTCCCCACAGCCAGAGCGGGATTTGCAACAAGGACAGCCTGTTGTTTTGGGTCATTTTGGTGGTTTCTTCTGTTACAAGATGCCTTTCCTCAGCAAAGCCTGAAAGTGTGTTTTGGAGGTTCTGGCAAAAGAGACAGGAGAGTCTCTTGGGAAGTCTTTCCTCCCCTCCTCCAAACAAAGTGGATTTTTTCCAGCCCTTCCTCTGGGCACGTCTGTACCCGAAGGAGCCATGACACCTGCAGGACAGCTTCTGGCTGCTCTCATGGGTCCATAGTCCTGTTTTGTGCAGGAGCAGCATTTTGACCTGCTCAGGTCTACTTGGCCAAACTGAATCGAAGTGGCTGTGCATGGCCACATGCTGCGCTTCGTGGCAGCAAACCTGGTGTCGACGCTGAACTTTGTGTCCTTATTTCTCACGGGACAAATTTCCCCTGAAGAAGTTGCACAGGCAGTGGAACCAGCCCAGGTAGGGGGGCATCTTGCCTTCCTTGCTGGTGATTTCCTTGGGGAGTTATAAATGCCTTTATTTCTGGAGTCCCTGAGCTGACAGTGCTCGCTTGGAGGGGTTACATTTTCATTTGGCAGTGTTGGAAGAGTAACTAACTCCTGCTTCCCTGGGGCAAAGGTATCTGACCTTCCTTTGCCCAGAGCCTGGAAAAATCAGGGAATGAGGCTAAAAACTGGATGCTGAGTCCACCATTAGATTGGCCATGTTGAAGTTGGCTGTAGCACCTCGATGTGAGGAGGGGGGGCAAGAGAGGAAGTCTGCCCCTGAAGAAGGGCAGATCATCGCAGCACTGAGAAGTGACCCAAACTTTGACCTAGAAGTTGGAGAGCATTTTTGGAAGGGTTGGAGGCTTTTGCTTGCTCCAGTCTGATTCTTTTGGGGATTTCTCTCATGTTTCCCTGGGAACAGAAGGATTAAAGTCCTATTGCAGAAGGGAGCAACCCCACCAAACTCTGCCGGGGTGGAGGGAGTGGAATCACTGGGGTGGATTTCTGCAGCCCCAGACTGCAGGCAAACATCACAGCAATTTTTGGACAAAGCCTCTGAATTTCATGTGTCCCCCACTTCCATCATGCCTGATTTTGGAGAGATCCCTACATTACCTCTGGGGAGGGACAATGGAGGACCCTGACTGCTGCCAGCCTGTCCCTCCTGAGCTGCTAAGGAGGGTTTGGTGCACCCCTGGGGCCAATGACCATGACCAGCCCCGTGCGGAGCCCCAAGCACTGCCCTGACATAAAAGATGCTGCACATTCCATAAGGCAGCCGCTGAGAGACCCACCCCGATGCATGTGTCGTGCACCAAAGCCTCTCCGGCCTCATGTAACCCCTCTTTCGCTCTGAGCTTCCTCAGGACGGGGGCCCCCAACTTTGAACCCTACTGGGAGAAACAGCGGAGGCTCCTGCTCCTTGCAAAGGGATTGGAGATGTCCCCCAGCTCCAGTGATGGTGGGTGGGAGGGATCACGTACTAACCTGTCCTGGGCGGATGTTCTTGCATGTTTTTTGGTGTAAAGCATGAAATTTAACTTAACATAACTGAGTGTCACATCTGTGGGCTTTCCTTATCAGCAACCAGAGTACAGCAAGGCAGGCCAAATTCCTAGGCTTAACGCTGTGCTTCTCTTGCCTCTTCCTGTCTGTGTATTTTTTTTTTAAAGATACATAATTTCTGTCGCCTTTTGCATGACTCTCTGTGAGATTTCTCTTTGCATGCTACATTGCTTTGGTTTGAATCTCATAAAGGTTGGTTTCTTTTACTTTACATTCTCATCACACCTTTTCCCCCCCTTCACTTGTTGGGCTTTTTATTTTGTCCTTTGTTGGGTTTTTTTTGCAGGTAGAGAAATTAGATCCTCTCTAGTCTTAAACTTTAGCATAACAACATCTCTTTAATGTGATGAGCAGCCACTAAGTTCTGTTGGGCAGTCACAGAAATGACATCACCACGCCGGCTGTCCTGTCTCCCTGCGTTTGGGTGGGATGTGATGTCATTTGCTGTTGCCTCACTTTCTGTTGTTGCTTTTGGTTGGTAGGACTGTGTTACCTGAACTGTGCACTTTTTGTTTCACAACAAAACAAACAAATGCTAAAAAAGCAGTTCCTTTCTTCTCGACCTGTTCCCATCCCCTCCTCCTTCTCACCGTTCCTGTTTTTCTCTCGTCTGTCCGTGTCTGTTTTACTGCTGGTGTTTCTTTTTCATTGTTTTTTGGTTCTATTTGATTTTGTTTAGTTTTTTTTTTTTACTTTTAGCCTGTTACTGTACAGCTGTTTTGATGTTGTGGTCCATGTTTTCTGTTACTGGATAGCAGTTGTCGCTCATTTAAAAAAAAAAAAAAAAAAAAAAAAAAAAAAGAGTTGGTTAAAACAAACAAAAAAAATTGTGCCAAGAACAAATCATCCCAATTGGAGCATGTGGGTAGCAGCCAAATCGCTGTGAGGAGCTTTTCCATGGCCTGCCTGGCCAGAGGTGTGACACTCAGAAGGGAGAGCCAAGAGTGTTACTAATCTAGTATTTAATCAATTTTTTTAAGACCGAGGTGGCCGCCTCGCCATCAGGTGCCTGGCAGAGGCTCCACAAAGTCAACCAAGACCTCCAAAGCGAGCTGGAAGCCCAATGCCAGCGTCAAGAGCTGATCAATCAGCAGATTCAGTCACTGAAGCGCAGCTACGCTGAGGCCAAGGACGTGATCCGGCACCACGAAGCTGAGATTCAGAGCCTACAGGCGAGGCTCAGTAACGCGGCGGCCGAGCTCTCCATCAAGGAGCAGACCCTGGCCAAGCTCAGGAGTGACCTGAGGAGCGAAAAAGAGAAAGCCAGAGAGCAGCTGGAGGAGTGGCAGCATGGCGAGGCCACGCTCAGCTCCCAGCTGAAGGCCAGCGAGCAGAAGCTGAAGAGCGCAGAGGCTCTGCTCCTGGAGAAGACCCAGGAGCTGCGGGACCTGGAGATGCAGCAGGCTTTGCAGAGGGACCATCAGAAGGAGGTGCAGCGGCTCCAAGACAGGATCGCGGACCTGAGCAGGCAGCTGAATGCTAGCGAGCAAACACGGATCCTCATGGAGGAGAAGCTGCAGAAGAATTACGAGGCTTTGCTGGAGAGCTGCGAGAGGGAAAAGCAGGTTTTAATACGAAGTCTGAAGGAGGTGGAGGATAAGGCCAATGAGTATGAGAACCAGCTGCAAAATAGCGAGCAGCAAATGGAGATTCTGCAGAAGGAGAAACTTAGTGCAAAGTTTGAAGGCAGCGAGCTTGTCCACCAGCTGGAGGAGCAGCTGGTGATGAAGGAGGCCAGCATCCAGAAACTCGCAGAGCACATCAAGGAGCTCGAAAGAGAGAGAGATCAGATCAAATGTCGGTTCCACGAGCTCATGAATCAGGTTGCCGAGTCCGATAATGAAGTTGCAAAGCTGCAAGCAAAGTTGAAAATGGAAGAGACCAACTACCACAATCTGGAGCAATCGTTTGAGGAGGTGTCAGATCAGTTCCAGGGTGTGCAGAAGGTGCTGAAAGAAAAAGAAGAAGAGTTGAGACACGTTAAAGAAATGCACTTGAGAATTGTGGAAAAGAAAGATCAAGATCTCAGTGAGGCTTTGGTTAAAATGGTTGCTTTAGATAGCAGTTTAGAGGAGACTAAAGTAAAGCTAAAGGCCAAGGAGGAGGCTTTAAAAAAATTAGCTAGTGTAGGCACAGGTCCATGTGCTGAGGAGGCAGAAGACCTTGGCCCCAGTCTTGAGGCTGATGAAAGTCACCCATCCCAACTAGGGCAGCTTCCACAAACTCAGGGTGTCCTCCCAGCTCTGACTTATGCACTGAAGGAGGAGGAGGATGAGGTTCTTGAGACCAGCCAGCAGCAAGCAGAGGAATTTGGCTCCCCATCCAAAAGTGTAGAGCTCCAGGACCAAGACTTGGTTCAGAAAGCCTTAGCAAAGCCTGATGTAGGAATCATGGGGTCCAAGAGGCAAAGAATCCGTTTCTCAAGCATCCAGTGCCAAAAATACATCCATCCAGATGGATCCGAGAAAAACTGGACAAGCAGTACCTCTTCAGACACAAGCCAAGACAGGTCGCTGTCTGAAGAAAGCATGTCATCAGAGCCGGCTCTCGGTTACCCGTCGTCGGGGACAAGTGACTCTGAGACCTATCTCTCAATCATCCATTCCCTGGAAACCAAACTTTATATTACGGAGGAAAAACTCAAAGATGTAACGATGAAACTGGAAAGCCAACATGGCCATAATCAGGAGACACTCATTGCCCTCCACCATCAGTGGGCCAGCACAGAGTCTCAGCTGCGGGAACAACTTCAGGCCAGCTTATCCCAAGTCAGTGCTTTGATCTCACAGCTGGAGAGTGAGAGGCAGGAAAAGTTCAAGCTCATAGAAAATCATGTTAACGAGCTGGGAGGTTTCCAAATGAAAAATGATCAAGCACTGACTTGCTTAGAGAAATGTAGAGAGCAACTAAGATCTTTGCCCAAATCAGACAAGGAAAAAGAGGGTGATTTGTTCCTTGTTACTCTGTCCAGCATGGAAACAACCTTATCAAATGCAATCCAAGCCTTGAGAGGGGCGCCAGCCCCATCAGAGTATCAGCAGAGTGAAAGCCTTATCGCGGAAAGCCCCGCTCCAGAAGGAGGTTTTTTGGGAGAAGAGGAGCATGTCTCCAAGGAGCAGCGAGTGGAAATGTTTGACGCCAGCCAGCTGAGGTGGCTTTCTGAGAGAGTGGCATTTGAGGCCTCTCTCATCAACCACATAGCAGAGTCTTTGAAAAATGCAAGCTCTGAGATATCTCGGCTTCTGAGAGAGATCCAGGGAACAGCTGAAGTGGTTTTGTTGGAGCCAGCAGATGTTTCTCATACAGCAGTGGACTTGGCCAGCATCCTATCTAAGAAGCTGCTTCTGGAAGGGGAGTTCTGGAGCCAGGTGGAGGAGCTGAGAGTGCACTTGAGCACCAGAGAAGGGGAAGCCGAGGGCAAAACAGAAACAACAGGTTTGGGCTTTTCTTCATGTTTTCTAAGTGCTGTAGCAGATGCTACTTTGATCAAGGCAGAACTTGGGTTTGTTGCACAGAAAATGAGAGAATCTTTTCATCAGAGATTAAAAACAATCGAAGAAGACCTCCATAATACCAAAACAGCTCTCCAGCAGCATAAATGCATGTTGGAGGAGATCATCAAAGCATACAGGACTCCTGATTTTGACAGAGTTATGCACCATATTTCTGAAGCGCTTGAAATTCAGAAAGATGCTTCAGAAAGAACCCAGATCTCCTGGGACGGGAGCCATCTCCAAATGGTGCCATGTCAGGAGTTAGCCAAGGTGGAGGAGACCGGCAGCCTGCTGGACCGTAGTAGTGAAGCTCTTGTTTCCATTCAGGAAGATCTTGCCCAACAACTAAAGGACAAATCAAATGTTCTGAAGGAGATATCTGTTGCCTTACTCTCTCTGCCTCCTGAGGAGGCAATGAGAGACTGTCAGAAGCTCCTGAAGATATCTCAGAGTCTTTCTTATCATTCGTGCATGGGAGACCTTGAACAGTATTCCTCTTTGTTAGTCCACGATGCAATTGTTCAGGCTCAGGTTTGTTATGCCGCTTGCAAAGTCCGACTGGAGTACGAGAGAGAGATGAAGTCCTACAAGGAGTCCTTACAGAGCATGGACGTGCTCTGCCAAGAGCGCGTGAAGACGGTCTCTCTCCTTCGGGACGAGTACGAAGACTTGCTCAGGAAGCAGCAGGGTGAGTACAGCGAGGTGATCGCCATGCTCGAAAGGGAGAACGCCGATCTCAAAGCCAAGGTGTCTCAGCTTGACAGTCAGCGAAGGCTCTTGGAGGAAGAAGAGCATAAACACAGCAAGAGCTTGAGTGAGTTACAGGGACGGTATGAGGAGGAGATTCGAAATGTGATAGAGCAGCTAAACAGGACGGAGGATGCTCTGAAGGCTGAGAGGACAGAGGGCCTCAACCAGCTGGATGCCATTGTCCGTGACAAGCAGAACATGGAGCAGTATCACCTGGAGCAGATGCAAATGCTGGAGGACAAGTTCCAGGCCAAGATCAAGGAGCTACAGGTCATCCACGGCGAGGAGCTGCAGGCGCTGCAGGAGCACTACAGCCAGAACCTGCAGCGCCTGCAGGAGACCCTGGACGAGTACCAGCGGCAGCACCCGGAGGCATCCCCCGTGGCGGGCCTGGGCGGGGGGGATGCCTGGGTGGCCGGGGAGGAGGGTGGCACCGGGCAGGGCCCCGACGGTGACCTGGACTCCATGCATGGCCTGAGGGAACGAATCCAGGAGCTGGAGGCCCAGATGAACGTCATGAGGGACGAGCTGGAGAACAAGCATCTGGAGGGGAACGCTTCCACCTTGAGGGAAAAATACCAGAAAGACTTTGAAAATTTAAAGGTCTTGATATGTTTAATGCTTTCCGCTTTCTGCTGTTGAGTGTATGGGAGGGTGCATTTGGTCCCAGGCTTTGTTTGCCAAACTGAGGGGTGTCCCCTGAAAAAGCCAGCATGCCGAAGCAAGCCCCAAATCGTTAGAAAGGCCTCTGTAAAGCATGGCGTTTTCCTTTTCCCCATGCTGGGGTATTCTAAATGCATTGCTGAGGGCTTGGGGGGGTTGATTATTGGAGGCAGTCTCTGCGTGTGGAGGGAGAGTTTCAAAGTAGCTTGATAACGTCATACTCTCCTTCAATATAACGTCAATATAATAACGTCATGTTTCTCTTTCCACCTGAGGCGTACATTTTGTTTGTGACTTCCCTTTAAAAGCATTCCTCAACTCTTGTCTTTCCCAGTCTGATCAAATCTCCAGTCTGTCTCTGCTGCCCTCAAGAATGTAGGATGAAATGGAAACAATGCTCTCAAAATGTACGTTCCTGGGGAAAGTAGCTGCAAACAGATGCCAAATTCTGTAGCAGAGCAAAGCTCTGCATGAGGCTGTGAGGAGACCCACCCTGGTGTTGCACACTGGTGAATCTTTACACAACAAAGAGTGCACAGTTAGGGGAAACCCAGGCTAGGTGTAGAAAAACCCACAAGCAATGAAACGCCATCATTCAGATTGCTCCACCAGTCAGACTGTCTGTAAAACTAGCATGAGATGGTAAAAAAACCTCTTGGGCTTTGTGTTTTGCTTTTGATTGGAGAGCGTTCCCAGTCAGGAAGTGGGTTTAGGGCAGTAGAGGACTCTCAGCAGCTCCAGGAGAGGCTTCCAGGTTGAACGGGCAGCGATGCAGGCTGTGTGCAGAGGCCAGGCCGGCAAGGCTTTCATGGAGAAGTTGGCAAATATGTGGGAGAACTTGCTTCCAGCCAAGAGATCCGCAGCACACATTTGGGCTGGGGATAAAGCGTGGCTCAGCTCCAACCAAAAGCTGGTTTTAGCCTGGGGAGAGCAGTAGTTCTGTTGCAGCCCATGAGAGCTGAATTGGGTGTTCAGGGGAGGGAGAACTGCTGGGGAGATCGGAGTGGTGTTCACTGAATGCTATCTGTCTCCTCCATCTCAACCCTGAGGAAGGAAAAGCCCTTCCTGAACCCCCGCTCAGGTCAGTGGGACGGGTAACGCCTTGTTCTGCAAGCCAGGCACCAAACACGGTCACTTGTACCAGGGGATGTTCTTGCTTTGGAAGAAACAAAAAGGCCAGAACCAAAATAGAGGCTGAAAAATAACAGCAAGCAATGAACCTGAGCTCCCACCTGTGTTTTCAACTTCACCCCACCAAAACTTGCAGTTTGCCTGGTGATAAGGCAAGCAGCATCTTCTGGGCAGAGGGCTCCGGGAGGAGAGCAGGGTGAAGAGGCCTTTGTAGGAAGCAGAGGGACAGATGGCAAAACAGAAATTTCCCTTGGTTAGAAAGCTGACCAAGGGATTGCAGACCTGTCCAATTTAATGGTTTAAATGTGGTTGATTCTTCTCTTCTGAACCTGATGGAGAATGTAGAATCAGTAACACAAGATACTGTTTGGTACATGTTCAGATGTCCTGGATTTATAGCAATGCATTTACAATACATTAAATACTGAATCTACATCCAGACCTATGGAGGAGCATTCACCATTTTCCTCCACCATTAGAGGTGTAATGAATCCTGCAAAGCTGCTTCGTGCCACTCTGTAGTCAGCCAAGTCCAGACAGGTTCTGGCACTGAGTTATGAATTTAAAAAAAGCAAAACAAAACAAGGCCGAGAAAGTGAAGAATGCCTCCGAATTAAAACTTGGAGGAAAAAAAAAACCTCAGAGCTGAAAATTGAGAATGAGAGTGGCACAGGTTACAGAGCATTAGACAATGAACTGATGCTGAAGAGTGTAGGTCAGTGGTTGTTAGACTATCATGAGCACTTTTGTCACTGGGGGAGTGAATTTGTTCCCCTTAAATTTCCCATGGAGTCCCAGTGGCTCCTTAGATGGCAGTTCTTGGTTCCCCTGGAAAATACGAGTGTGATTCAAGAGGAAATCCACTGAAATCAGGAAATAAAGCCAGCCTGTAACATCGAGAGGGAGAAAAGCCCGGTGCAGTGCTTGGCATCAGCATTGCCCCAGTTGTCTGACAGGGCTCTTGTGCTGCATCCCTGGTGCATGCCCCTTCCTAGGTCGTGGCTCCAGCCTGCCTGTGGCTTTGCTGTCCTGCCTCTGTCCTGCAGCCATGTGTCCGTCCGGGATCCTGATGCACTTGGTGCAGCGGTCGGGCTGGTGGCTGAGCTGGAAACAGGCTCTGTTATTTATTTATTTATCTGCCTGCAAGGGCAGGAGCAGGGTCTGTGTCTGGGGCAGGAGTGGGCTGGAATTCAGGATTTCATGGCTGGTGAGCCCCCAGAATACTGCTCCCGTGTCCTGGCCGAAGTTCACTCCTAGTAATTCAATTAGCAAATAATAGCCCATGCAGCATTTGAAGCGATACTTGGTTGGGAATTAAGGTCCTGTTGCTGTCACCAGTCATTTGTTTTCCACCCCAGAGGTGGCCACATAAAGTCAGGTATTGAAAAAAAGAGCAGAAGGGGCACATTAGGCTTTTTGTTTGTTTGTTTTTAACATGTATTTGCATTCTCCTGTTGAGTCTGACCCCAGACCTACCCTGTCCTTCCGTTTCACTGGAGCTGTCAGGGGTCGAGGTGACAGAACAAGCCCTGACCTTGCAAGGTCCATCCCTGGCCAGCTCCTCCGTGGTTGGGGAGGGAGAAGATCCCCATGATGGAACCTTGGTGCCAGCCTATCTGCTGGCGTGTGCCTCTGGGCGGACTCAGCACCGCTGTGACACCGGCCTGCGCTCCTGGGCCAACCCCTTCTTCCCCTCATCCCTTTTGCAGGCAACATGTGAAAGGGGCTTTGCAGCCATGGAGGAGACACACCAAAAGAAGATTGAGGACCTGCAGCGACAGCACCAGCGGGAGCTGGAGAAGCTGCGGGAGGAGAAGGACCGCCTGCTGGCAGAGGAAACGGCTGCCACCATTTCAGGTATGGGGACACGCCAGAGGGTCCCCTGCAGTGAGGCAGCTCCGTGTTGAGGGGGACACGGGGATGGTGTTCACTCCAGTATAGAGAAGCAGATCATGAGATGGGATGAGGGCTGGGTGTGGATCACAGGGAGATGAGAAGGGGCTGGTGGGAAAGACTTTTTTGGATGGACATCCATGTGGTCCTTCTCCAGGCTAGGTATTCCCCTGTGCTTGGCTGTAACAGGGTCTGATCCCTTTTCTCATCCATCTCAGAAGGGCATTTAGTCATTCCTGTGGTTAATTTATTGCTTGATTACACATTGAATTGATTCTTCAGTTGTCCCAGGGAGTTTTAAAGCACAGGAAACTACATGTGAATTGGACAGTTGTTTGGGCTTTGCAATACCCCTTTGCCACTTTGCAGCCAGGGCCACAGGGGCTGCAAAGAAGTGGGGACCTCGATGGGATGACTCGTTTCTTGTTCCTTTAAAACAAACCAAAAAAACCTCCAAATAAACCTGCCCTCGGGCAGAGCGGTGCTGGGTGCTAACGCTGTGCCGTCCCATGCAGCCATCGAAGCCATGAAGAACGCACACCGGGAGGAGCTGGAGCGAGAGCTGGAGAAGTCCCAGCGCTCCCAGATCAGCAGCGTCAATGCCGACATCGAGGCCCTCCGAAGGCAATACCTGTAAGACCATCGTTGTCCTTTGTCTGTTGCTGTGTCTCAGAGACCCCTTTCTCCCCTTTGATTTTGGTGGTGGATTAAGGGGCAGACCTGTTGTGGCAGGGACCTCTTGATCCCAACCCAGCTGTGCCCATTGGAGGCTCCTGGTTGCCTGTAACCTTCCAGGGTCCAGGTCAATGTCCCCACACTACCCAAATCCAGCTGGTTTGTGGTCACCAGAAGCATCAGATGTGCAGACACGGTGCTGCTTTTCACACAGCTGCAATGGGAGGATTGCTCAACCAAATCTAACCAGGAGAGAAGAAAGCACTTAGCTTTTTGTGGCAAGGCTGTCCTCATGTGGGAGCCAAGTAAAACAGCCAGGCAGCTTTATGAACCTTGATGCATCTACATAAGGTGCATAGGTATGCAAATACACCCAGTCCCAATTGCCCAGAGCAAACTTGATAGATCTTAGCTCAGTTTTCAGAAACCTGAGGAAGTCTGGCCATTTAACCTCCTAGAGAAAGACCTCCCGTCCCCTTTGGTGCCCAAGCGCCGCTCTGCCAGGAGAAGGAAGGGCTGGCTCGCTCCAGGCTTGAGGTTTTTCCCAAAGGGAGTATGCGAGTCCTCCTCCTCAGTGCTTAGATCCCTGTTGGGTTGTCCCAGGGTGCTGGAGGAAGCGTGGGCATGGGTGGGTGTGTGCAGGGAGGGCACTACCTGGCGTGTGTTTCACCAGGGAGGAGCTGCAGTCGGTGCAGCGGGAGTTGGAGGTGCTTTCGGAGCAGTATTCGCAGAAGTGTTTGGAGAACGCCCACCTGGCGCAGGCGCTGGAGGCTGAGAGGCAGGCCCTCCGCCAGTGCCAGCGGGAAAACCAGGAGCTCAACGCCCACAACCAGGTGAGGGTCCTCACCATGCGCCAGGGTGGGCAAGGGGGGGTGGTGACGGGCTAACAGCCCGATGGGCAGCATGGTGGGCTCTGTACCGAGCTGTGGCCACGCTCCCCCTTCCCACAACAGCTCTCCTCCTCTTCCCAGGAGCTGAATAACCGCCTGGCTGCGGAGATCACGCGATTGCGGACCCTGCTGACCGGGGAGGGCGGGGGAGAGGCTGCTGGATCGCCTCTCACGCAGGGCAAGGATGCCTACGAGCTGGAGGTGAGCTCTGCCACACCGAAGGGGCAGCATCAGTGGGCACAAGGGCCCGTGGGCCCCCGGGAGCATGGCACAGCCATCCTGTCCTCCTTCCATGCATCAGGTCTGCACAGCTGGTCAGCACCGAGCATCATGGGGTGCAGTGGGGCCAGGAGCTTTTAGAATCCTCATCTCACCATGTTGAGCCAGATACCTGCTCTTACTTCTCTAGACCCTGCATGTCCCCTGGGATCCAGTCCACACAAAGTGAGCACAGAAACCGAGGGGTGTGTAGGGAGCACGTCAGTGGTGCAAGCTTGGGCAAGTTCCCAAGAGACCCAGGAATAATTTTCTTGTTGAACCAGCAGCTTTGTGGTGCTGGTGTGGAGCCAGCATGGGGCTGAGCCTCCAGCCCTGGCTCAGTTGTCACTGGGCACAGCAAGTGAACATCTCAGGATCACGTTGCATCTGCTCGGGTACAAACACGAGCTGGTTTTGTTCCCACAGGTCCTGCTGCGGGTCAAAGAATCAGAAATCCAGTACCTGAAGCAGGAGATCAGCTCCCTCAAAGATGAGCTGCAGACAGCACTGAGGGTAATGCCAGGGATGTTTCTGCAAATCCTCCTACAGGCTGTGCTCTGCTCCTGTGTGTGTGTTCTTAGATTTCAGCTCACTTACACCCAGATTTGAAACAATATTTAATTTTTCCTCTGAATGGAAGTCAATATCCATTGTGGTGTCATCAGTAAAGCACTCCATGACCATATCAGCTTAGGATTTACCCCCACAAGGGAGACCGTGTGGGAACATCCCCTTCAGTGTTTTTTCCACATTTCCTGTCACATCAGTGCAAATTTAAATGGCAAAAATAATCAGTGTTAGAGATCTGCCCAGCCTCCCAGCATTGGATCTGGTTTGTTCTGGACAGCCTCTTTGCCAAGGCCATTTCTGGGAATTCTGCTTGAATTCTGTGTCTTTTCTAAAATTAAAAGCCACAGAAGGGTAATCCTGTAACAAAGGGGCTGCATGCACAGGCAGTGCTGTATGCTCGCTGCTGGGCTCACAGCTATCTGCCTGTCTTGAGTTCTGTACTGCTGTTAGACGCAGCTTGAAGAACGTGTGTGAGCTGTGTGCGTTGCCCCAGCTGAGCATTTCTCCCCGCTGCCGGCTCTTCTTCCTTCAGCATTTGCCAAGCTCCTCTTCAGCGGGCTCACAAACTCCTCGGCTCCAGCTGTCTGTCTGACTCCGCTGGGTTGTTCTTGTTCCTTTGCCAGGATAAGAAATACGCCAGCGACAAGTACAAAGACATCTACACGGAGCTGAGCATCGTGAAGGCCAAGGCAGACTGTGATATCAGCAGGTTGAAAGAGCAGCTGAAAGCAGCCACAGAAGCTCAGGGAGAGAAATCCCCTGTGAACACCACTGTATCGGGATATGGTCAGTCCTCCTCCAGCAGCTCTAAAAAACCGTGGGTTTCCCAAGCTAACGTGTAACCTGGCATACAAGCCCTTGTGCAGTAACAGGTCTGAGTGTAGGACTTGGCATGGTGCTTTTTTGCTGTTTCATGCTGCTTCTCACCTCTGCTCCTTGTAGACAGTCTTGCCAGAGCTGCCCTCCCGTGGCAGTTCCTCCTTCCAGCCCACAGATGGGAAACTGATAGGCTTTGAAAGACTTCTGGCATTTTGCAATGGGAAAGTCTCGTGCTACATGCGATGCAGCGGGGCAGAGACACCCCCCCACCCCCCCCACCCCAAAATCCCCTCTGCCCTTAGGGCAGTGCTGCTTGAGTTGGGCTCATTGGAGCTCTTGGGAGGGCAGGAGAGCCCCAGCCCTGCTCCTTGAAGGAAGGTAGTGGGCACCACACTAACACCATTTCTTTTGCTTCTTCCCAGATATTATGAAATCAAAAAGCAACCCTGATTTCTTGAAGAAAGACAGATCCAGTGTTAGTCGGCAACTAAGGAATATCAGGTCAAAGGTGAGCTCAGATCTCCTGCCCTACGTTTGGGGCGTTACTCTCCAGTGGGGGTCCCAGGTGGGAAGAAATAGGTAGGGGAAGAGAAATGAGAATTTCCCAGTTACTAGTGCTAGTCTGGATGGCACTGGGAAGAAGAGCGAGCTTTCAACAGCAAAATGTCTGGCTGTGCAGGCAGGCAGAGCCCACTCCCCCTGCGATGCCCAGCAGGGCACACACACTCCTGACCCTGCTGAGATCAAGGTGTGAGGATGCTCCCCACTTGAAAAAAAAGAATGAAGTCCACCCTCTTCTTTGGTCTTTTACAGGAGGACTCTCCCAGTATTTGCTCCCTGTTTTCAGTTGAAATTTAGGTGGAAATGTGCACATCATTCTAAGCTTTAGTGTTCATCACTGTAAGATTTTTTGGTCTTTATGTGGAATGACGATGCCTTGATCGTGGGCATATTTAACACACACTTTGCTTGTGTGTTAACATGGCACAGATGGCTATGTGTTTCTCTGGCTGTTCTGTACTTGCTGTTGGTCCCAAAGGCCAGTGGTGCTGTGCCAAGCTCTCCTGCTTGGCCTGCTGACAGCCAGAGTTACGTCGTCTTACACACTGGCTGTTCTTGTGGGACCACAGGGATAAAAAGGGCAATTAAAGTCACTCAGAAGTCACTGTTGAACATAGGTCAGTTGGAAGGAAGATCAGCATGGGCAAAACCTGCTTTGCCGCTCACCAGTGGGATACCTGGTGTCTCATGCTGATGTTTGAAGTGGTTGAGACCTTAGGCAGAGCGAGAAGCTGGGCAGGCAGAAGGCTTCCAGCTCGGTGCCCGTGCTGGGGAAACAGTCACCACCCGAGCTCGGGGTGTCTGCACTGCACCGAGTAAACACAGAGAGCACATCTGTGCATTTCAGGGGCAGCCCAGACCTGCTGGGTCAGGTCTGGTGTTGGGTTTCCCTTCACCACTTCAACTCGGACCACTCACAGTGTGGTCCCCAGTGTGTGTTGCTTGGTGGGAAAAGGAGAGGAGAGCAAGCATGGGCTCTGCCTGGGCATGCTGCCTGCTCGCATCGCTGCTGGGGCGGGGGGCTGGGGCTCCGTGAATGCCAATGCATTTAGGATTTATGAGCTTCTTGTTTTTTGTTTTGTTTTTTTCTTTATTTTGCTTTTTCCTTCAACAGTCCGTTATTGAGCAGGTCTCATGGGATAACTGAAATGAACCCGAGTCCAGGTTCCCTGCCACGTAGGTAAACAACCGGCACCCACCAAGCGACGCAGCTGCCCCCTGGAGCAGCCCACTTTTGCATGCACTGCTCACACCTTCATGGCAAACGAGAACCCTTCTTCTCTTAATGACCAACTGGTTTATTTACGGCTAATTATTTCACTGAGGGAGGGGGAAGGGGAGGGGAGAAGTCAGCAGACCCGAGATCCGTGTGACATTCAGTCTCTCTGGCTGTTCCCTGGGGAATATGGCTTTCTCGTCTTCTCGCTCCTCCCACCCTCGCCAACACAGCTAACCAGCACGGAGAAGATTTGGACACAGTGGGGCATGTTTGCTGTGTTGGGAGCACGGGATGCTGAGCGTGCATGCTTGAATGACTCTGCATGCCTCAGACTAAACTTCAGTGACATCCAGGTCTTGTAGGAAAAATAGTTGTCTTGCTGTTAGCCAGGCAGAGGAGTGGGTTGGTGACAGCTATAAATGCATTTCCCACAAAGGCCTGTAACATGAAAATGGTCTCTGTCTCAGCTGCAGAGGGAGTGTCCTAAATTACCTTTATCTAGAATTGCTGCTTCTTCAGGTTGATCCAACAAAAGAGTCCTCCTTGCTCAGTAACCTCCTCCTCCTGCTCTGCAGGCTTCCTCGAGCTCCCCAGTGTCCACCCCGCTGCTCTCTATCCCTTGGCACTGTGCCTTCATCCCACACGCTGGCCTGAGGCTTAGCTCATCCAGCAAAAGGAGGGAGCTGATGGGAAACAAGGCCAATCCTAATGACCCAGATGTCTCCAATAACTGGAGCAATAGTTAATTTACTGACCCATGGTAAAGGCTGAGGTTAGAGTACCTATAGAGGGAGGTTAGAGAAAAGAGGGGAGCTCCTCAGTGTGGTGGCAGAGGGGTGGCTGGAGAACCCCAGGAAGTCTGATGGAGGATCCCTTTATCACAAATTTCATCCTACGTAAGTCTCCCTTCATCAGGCTCCCCTCATCGGCAACTCAGATGGGTTGTGAGACTGCCTAAGGGGTCAACTTGCTGGAATTTGTACCATCAGACAGAATTGTCTTAATGGTTTGTGTTGTCTCCTTCCATCTAATGAGAAATCAGATGTACAAACTGGAATGCCTGAGTTGCTGCCGGTTTAAAGAGGCCCAAAGTAAACTTCCTTTAGGAAGTGTGTGCTCAGAGACTCGCATCCCAAGAGACTTTGCTGCCCGTTGAAAGGAAAGCACTCAGAATTTGTAAATTCAAACCAAAGCATTTCAGTGCTTTCATTTCCAAGCCGTTCTGTATTTGTGGGCCTGTGGGAGGAGAAGCATTTAAAGAAATACAGTAACCATGGAAATCTGCACAACCTCGGGGCAAGTTTATCATGGAGTCCTGCCTTGATAAACACACGTTAAAGAAAACCCAACCCAAAAGTTGAACCTGCTGCTCTGATTGTACAGTCTTCTGGCACCCCAGTCAGGGAAGTAAAAGCAAAAGGGAGATGGCTGCCTGTTAATCGAAGAGGTTTTACATACAGGTCTGTGCCTTTTGAAGCTGCCACAGTGTTCCAGCTGCGGAGTGAGTTCCTTGCTCGCTACAAGGAATCAGCTTGCGGCAGTGGTGAGCTGCAGGGTGCATGCAGGCAGCTGGCTGCCTGCCCCGCAGCGGGTACGGCCCAGCCATCGCTCCGCGGGCCTGGCTCTTGGCTAGGGAGATGTCTGTGTCTTCTCAGCAGCAGCGAGCAGGGACAACTCGCTGGTGCCCTGCTCCCCTGGAGCTCTTGTACCACAACTTCGGGGCTGCAGGAAGAAGGGAAGGCTTTAGGCTTGTGCGTCTCCTCGGGCTAGTTTCAGGTTAAAGCTCTCACACAAGGGACAAGAATTTCCTTTGGGGTTTCTGCCCCTCACATTGCTGTTCTCCTGCGTCCTCAGGTGTAAGCAAAAGATGTCACAAATCCAAGTGATGAGAGCTAGTGGGGTGGGATTTTCTGGTGGCTGGCTGAGTGTTGTGCCTTGAAATCTGGATGCTGCATCTGAATTGGATCAGCCATCAGATCCTGTAGACCTGAAGCTGGCATTTGGCAAGTCTGTTGTCTAATCCTGTGCAGTAGAGGCAGCTTTGGCTTGGGAGAACCCCCAGGCTGGGGTTAGAGAAAGGGTGGGATTGTCTCTGGCAATAAAATCACAGTTTCCAGGGCTGCTTGAGCAAAGCCTACACATTGACCGGAGCCAGGACCGTCCCAGATGGACGCGCGTTCAGCCAGGGCTGCAGTGGCGCGGGGAGGACCAGCATGCAGATCCTGCTCAGCAGCCTGGTGCTTTAGTGTAGCAGATCTGAGCTGAGCTGACCTGCCCAGGGCTCCCACAGTTCCAGAGCTCCGCTTAAATTGTGCCAGCCACTGCTGCCCTGCAGGCTCTGGGGGTCATTTTCCGTGTCGAGCTAATCCCGCTTGCAGCATGGTGTGCCTCATTTGCTTCTGGTACGTCGCCTGGTTCACTCGCAATCTCACCCTCTCTCTAGGCACCATTCACCAGTAACCACCTTCCATAACCGTGTGTTTTCTCTTAGCATGTCCCACTAATCTCTCTGCCAAGGAGGCCATTCTCCCGCTGCCCACGTCTCCTTTGCCTGAGCACCGCCACCCTTTCTGTGTGCCAGACCCCCCCCGCCTCCCGCCCGCCCGTGTCCGACGTTCTCTGTCTTTTGTCTCTCTCAGAGTCTGAAGGAAGGCCTGACTGTGCAAGAACGCCTGAAGCTTTTTGAATCCAGGGACTTGAAGAAAGACTAGTTCTCCCCGCTCCGCTTGACCACGCGCACCTCCCAGCTTGAGGCAGCACAGCACCAGCACCGTTTGTCTCTCGTTCCTTACGACTGTCCTTGCTGTCGTTCGTCTTGACGCCCCCAATGGGACCCGGCGCCGTGGTGGTGGTGGTGCCCCCCCCTGCTGCCCCCTCGCCTCCCCAGCTCCTTTCCCTGCTTGTGAGACGCTCCAGAGACTCTGAGAGGGAGAGGAAGGGATTGGGGTGGGGTGTTTTTTTCCCCTCTCTTCAGCGCTTTGTAGGAGAATCCTTCCTTTACTGTAAACCATTACACTAAGTGTCAGTATTAAGGCTCAGTAGCCTGTTAATAAGCTAGCTCTGTCATACCAACCGTTTTGGTATGCAGGCAGGGCCTGGGTGGTATCGGCCATACCGAGCTCTTACTGCTGTCAAGAGACCCAGTGCTCAGAGCACGCCAGGAGCCTAATCTAACCATTGATCTCGATTGCATTACTTGCACCTACAAGGGGGGAAAGCCCGGGGGAAGATTTTGGGGAGCGCAAGTCCGTGCTGGCATACACAGCCTGGAGGTACAACACTGACATCCCGCTGGAGAAGGATGCAAGAAATGATTCTCCTGCCCCGTGACTGTGCCGTATCCTGAATGTAGGCGATACTGAAGCCCGGTGAGCTTTGGTGGCTGCCCAGGTGGTTATGGATAGGGAGCTGCAGATACTCAATGTGCACCGTCGAGTCTGCCCCATCGGCGTGTCTTTGCCTCCTGTCTCACTGGTGGTCGCAGTCGGTGTTTCAGGGGCCAAGCTGTAAGATCATTTTCTTGCCTCTGTTAGATCAAGCCCAGCACTCTTTTTTTTTTTTTTTTGATTGAGTCCCGTGTATCCCAGGGTCTGTGCGCATGTGAAACTCCCTTTTCCTAGTCAAAGGAAAGTAGAGTAGAAAGTAGAGCCAATATTGACTGAAAATGCACAGTGCTCAATGCATATAATGCTCCTTTTTTATCAGCTTCTTGAATTCAACTCTTCTTGTCAGCAGGGCAGCTCCTATTTTAATTCTTTAATCTTTTCCTGAAATAAAAGTCTCAAAACCAGTATGTGCTTCAGATCTTCTCAGTCCTAATAGCTTTTGTATTTAAAGCATACAATTTAGCACTGTGAGGCCGATCAATGGATACAAGCTCAAAGTGAGTCGAGGGAGCTGGTAACATTAGATGCAGCACACAGCCAGCCGAGCAGTCTTCCTAGAAGCCTACGCTGCTTTGCAGTGGGGCTGCCCGGGCATGGTGGCTTCATCCCAGGCTAAATTTCAAGATGCCACCGGTAAAGATGCCAGGTCTTGCCTCACTGATAGCTCTGGCCGGGAGCAGGGCTGAAGCAGTGCTCTGGTGTGTTGGTTTCCCAGCGCCATTTAGCTGCCGAGCGGCCCGTATCACTTTGGGCTGTGCTATTAAAGATATGCCCTAGCCTTCACGTGGAGCAAAGCTTCCTCTTGTCTTTCAAGTGCTTAACACGTGGTTGAAGCAGGCAGCTCAGTGTGCTTTCCTGGCTGATTTTTGGGCTGTTAGGCAGGCAGTACAATCACAGCCCTCCAAGCAAACTCTTGCTGCAGCTCCGGAGCGGTGAGCACCACAGGGCTGGTGACAGCCATCTCCAATCCTGCCAGGTTGGATCACGGCAGGTGCTGAGAGTTCACCCTCATCCTCTCTCTGAGCAGCAAGTCTCTGTTTCAGCCCCCAGACCCTCAGCAGGAGACGGCATCATCTAACCAGTGTCAAGGCTCTCATCCAGCTTGTGTGGCCTTGCCGTGGCCACGTGCTCAGTTTGACACCTCCCAGGGCACTCGCAGCAGCGCACAGCAGCGAGCCGGTCCTGCCTGTAGGAGCCTCACTTGTCCCCAGTCAAGATGCCAGCGCCGTGCAGCGGGCAGAGCCCGTGCGGGGACGCTTTCCCACTGCGATGCTCTGTAATCTGTGCCTGGATGTACATGGAAGCCCTGGAGATAAGATCAGGGTAGGAAAAATGCTCAACTGGATACAAAGTCTTTCCCTTTGTGCCCTCTATGATAGTTCGATGTGCAGCCACTCGCCCTAATCTGAGCTCACAGTAGCACTTTCTGTAATCTTGAGTTTTGGAGGACCCAGGAGCCTTCCCAGCCATGCCCCACCTGGATCAACCATCAGTCACTCCCGGAGACTCCGTGTTGCTCCTTGCACTGCATTTGCTTCCACCCATCAGTCAGCAGCTGCCTTAGTCCTCTCATCCCACAGTGGAGGAATGTGGCCTGTGTGCCCAAAGCTGCTCACCATCAGCCTCTCGCCTGCCGGATGGGAGTCCAAACTGCAGAGCCCAAAGTGGAAATGGTCACCTTAGCACTGTCCTGGGGCTGTGGAAATAACTGCCCTCGCCACTCTGAGCTAGCTAAGGGCCATCTCAAGCATAGACTGTTGTTGATAAACCCATGTATGTTGGTAATGCTTAGCAGTGGCTTTTTATAGCCTTGGTGTGGGGTTCTGCTTCCCTTCCAGCTGAGGAGATCCAGATGCAGCTCTCCTTGTTTGTCTTCCCAGATTCAGCCTTCTCCAGATCAGTTGTGCATGTGTTGTGCTTAGAAGAAGTCCACATCTGGAAGAAGAGGGTCCTTCGTTACTAGTCACATACGAGGTTTCACTCTCCCTGCTGGCATCTTGCACTTGACTGAAGTGAGAGGTCTGGGTCTCTGGTATAACCTCACAGTTGGGTGAGCGGGGCGAGTTCAGGTCCCCATGCTCACAGCAGCTGGCAATGTGGCACTTCAGTGACATCTCTGAGCAGTTAAAGGCAGTCTTTAAGGTAAAGCAGGGACACCAATGCCTGCCAAGCAGAGTAGATTGCAGGACAGAGAAGTCAGTGCTGTGGTCCAGGTTCATCTTAATTCGGGCCATTGACATAGCACTGAGGGATCTGGTGGAGTTGAGAACTGTCAGTGTTAGGTTAATGGTTAGACTAGGTGATCTTCAAGGCCTTTTCCAACCTAGGAAATTCCAACCTGTGATTCTGTGATTAGGTTTATGTTGTGTATGTGCCTTTCTAACTGCATCAGGAGATGCTTACCTGGCCCAGGTGGGTGGCTTGGTCCCATCCGAAGTCACCTGCCCAACTCTCTGCAGGGATAACCTTTACACTCCATCCTGGGCTGCTCTGGATGAGCTCTGCTCTCTGGCAGCCGTGATCTCCTGGCAGAGGTCTCAGGACACACCATTAGGATGGCATGTAGGCCTTGTCACTGGCATTGCTCTTTCTTTACAAGACATCACTGGCTCCAGGAGGATGCCCTCTTCCTCCTCCTCCTCTTCTCTCCAGACATAGAGTGGGACTTTGTCCTTTTTAGCCAGCCGAGCAGAACATGCACTGCTCTCCTTCTCGACATGTGGACCCTGCCCTTTCTTACATCCCCCAGCAAATCCTGCTTTTTCTCTGCATACTTCATTTGCTCAGGAGCACTTATTTTAAGTGTGAAGACTAGAAGTTATGTACCTTACATTGACACATTGGTGGTGTGGCGGACACAAGATGAACCTTTCTGCTACAGGATCATGCCACTGAGCATCTTGAGGCTCCCCATGCAGGGATGTTTTCTGCTCTATGCTTGCTCATACCAAGAAATCTTCTCTTGCAGATCAGTGTCCTGCCTGGCACTAGGTATTGAGCCTAGTGAGTAAGAGTACTTGATTTCTTCGCCAGTGCTCCTGCTTTGAGCCTTATTTCTTAACATAGAGAACAGCTGGGTAAGTGGAGGGCACACGTGGAGCGATCAGGTGGGGATCACCCCCAGTGTTTGACTCAGCATGTGTAAATACATTAATTCTTAAAAAAAAAAAAAAAGTGAGGATGGGTAGAAAGGCACTGCAGTGTGTTGGCAAAGGTGGCAGCACTTTGGTGGTGGACAATGCAGGAAGGCAGAAGAATGTGCGAAAAAAATGCAGCGGCACAGGGAGCTGTGCAAAGTGTGTGGGTGCTGAAGGCAGGGAGGGTCCGGAGAAGAGCTTTCTGCTTGTGCTCAGGCCCTGAACTGCCCGGCAAAGAGGGGGACTGTTGTTATTTATACACATATAAAAATATACTGATGTTTAGTGGGGGAAATAATCACCCAGGAACGCTTGTATGGCTCTTGCTTCTTTCTTGTAGACATGCCCATATGCCAAGCAAGGGATCATCTATAACTTCAGGGCCACTTGTGTCAATTCTTCACTCGAGGCAACACAGACGGTATTTTGCATCCCTTCCGTGAGGCCCTGACAGGGGATCCAGCACCAAGGAATGAAGCTGGATTTTCTTCTCTCTTTCCTCTAGTTTGTTTTTACCTTACTGAACAGAAAATGTGAGTCCTCGCATCACCCTCTTTTCTGGGCTCCGTGAAACATCTCTAAAAGAATTTGACGAGGTTTGCTGGGACTGCTGTCTGAACAGGGTCAGAGCCAGGGGATCAGCTGCTCAGAAATTTGCTTTTGGGGAACTTCTATTTAATATATATTGGCCAGCTTGTCTGGACCGTCAAATAGCTGAGAAAACCAAGACAGGCATGTTTGCTGGGGAAAAAAACCTGGCACTAACTACAGGTATAGCTGAAGCAAAATGTATTAGGTGGCAGGAGGACAGGCACAGGGAACACAGCAGTGCCTAACAAGCCAAATCAATTAATCTTGATGAATTTTGTGGGTTAAAAATATTTATCGCTAAACAAAGGGATCTTTTATGACCATAGTGGTGGTGGTGGTCTCATATACTGTAGCTTGAAGGAGCAGCCGTCTTCCACTGGGCAGTTGGGCTCCTTTGAAAATGAAAACAGAGAACCTGTCTCTGCCATACAGAAGGTGCATCTGGGGCTGAGCAGTGGCCTCGGCATCGTCAGGATGAGCCTCAGCCTTTGGGGCAGCACTTCACCAGGTGGGAACACTGTACACAGTGTCTTATGGCAGTAGCGATGAGTTCAGGGGGTCACAAAGAAGAGGAGGAGGAGGAGGAGGAGGAGGGAAGGTGCTGTGGTATGCAGGCAGCTTCAGGCTGCGCTTCAGGCTCTGCTCTGTTTGCAGTCTGGCAACTATCTGAGCATTACCGCAGAGCAAAAGGCATCACCTGCCTTTACGTGAAAGGAAGAGAACTTGGAGCACCAATGACCAAGCCTAAAATTGAAGTATTTCTGCAGAGAGCAGTGCTTTTTTTTTTTTTTAAAAAAAAAAAAAGCCACCTGGAGAGCTTTTTCCTTAGATATCCTATTGCTTCTTCCTTCTCCAGGCTCCATCCATCTTCCCAGATAAGTCAGTGGCTATTTAAATTAGTGTGTGCAGAAGGGACAAAAAGCATGGGGAGGAGAGGGCGAGCTCCCCGCCTGCACTTCCACAGTCCGGCTGCATCGTGCCACTGCCCGGCGCAGCACGGCCCCGGCCGTGGGCTCGCGAGGCCGTGCAGCTCTCCCACGCAGACACTCGCCAGGCACCGTCTGCACGTGGCCCGACAGGCAGTGCAAGCTGCTGCCTTTTACACAGTTCTACACTAGCAATAGCACTGAAACGTGAGGTCTAGGGAAAGTCAAGTGAAACCAAGGTGCGGACACAGACACTTCCTAGTTGGCTCCGAGTAATTTTTTTTCCTCCTGCATAAGGTTTTCCCACCATTTGCACCGTCTCCCCTGAAACAAGACTGAATCTCTTTAAATATGACCTTTCCTTTGCCCACATATAAAAAAAATAAGGAAATCGTGGTCATTTGCTTCAAAACCAGAATTGTGTGCGGACTTGCAAACCAGAAGTCTTTTTTTTCTTCCTGTAACAGAGGTGGGTGGGACTGTGTTACCAGTGCTGCCCCCCCCAGCATTGTAAGATGTGTCACTTTTGTACCATCTCTATACCTGATTGCACTTCCACTAGACAGTTGCATTTTTTTCATGGTTCAGATACAGTACTTAGTTTGTTGTGAACACTCAAGCACATGCACGCTCAGTGTAGCTTGCCTTTCCTCTGTAATTTTTTCCATTTTTTTTAGGAAAAAAAAAAGCTTTGTTATTCTTCTCTTTTAAAAAAGTAATTTAAAACCTGTATAGCACTCAAAGCACGCAATGTAAATATTTATTACTCAAATTAGCGGAGGGTTCTCTTTTGTGACTTAAGTTGTGGTTTTGATTTTTAAATCTTGTCCTAACACAGATGTCCCAGGCGCAGGTTGGGAGAGGAGCGCCAAGTGTAATGTGTCCAATCTGCCCCATCTACCCCGATAAACTGTTTGTTTGGTTTTGATGACTGTTATAAATATCTTTTCAAAACTTTTCTGCTGACCTGTACCTTTAGTTTTGAGGATACCTGTCCAAAGATTCTGTACAGTCTGTTTGAGAACCGTAACCTTACTATGCTATAAACCTGCTTGGGTTTTGTTTTTTTTTTTTCCATTCGGAGAACTCAGTAGTGTTGTATTTGGTAGGGGCACTAACACCGTGTGTGTGCAGACTGTTACCCATCGTTACACAGAGTAGCAGCAACTACTGGGTGACAGAGCACCCCCGGCTCTCCTTGCACTGTAGTTTCGGGCTGTTGCAGCGAGCCGCTGGCTCTGGGAGACACCGGTGTCATGCTGTAACTCGCTCGTGCAGCACATCCAAGACACTCTTGGACTTTACAAGGGACTGACAGACCCCACTGTACACACACATCCTACAGCAGCACTGCAACTTACACTGTGTAACTTCAAACATAACCATGTAGTTACTACTGAGTTGAACTTAAGTGAGCCTGTAGTACAAACCGTTTCTTACAAGAGGACACAAACGTGCTGCTGCAGGAGTGGGGGGCAGCAGGCTGGCAACGATGTGGGTGCCAGCCCCAGCGGTTCACCCTGCCTCAGTCTGAGACTACGAAAAGAAACCGAGGGCGTGGGATTTACAGGCAGAAACCTGATGCACCAGACAAGTTGGTACCAACTGAACGAAGCCAGCTGGCCATGAACTCCTAAATAATGAGTGCAATTCCAATTATTTTCTTCATGCTTTCTTCACACACTGCCTGTGTGCAGGATTGACAAGAACATTCGCTCTTTGTTCTAAATTAGAGACAGCAAAGTGTGACATAAAATACAAAAGATTACGGTAAGTAGGAAGCAGATACAAATGCGCAGCATTTGACCTGTGTCCACCCTCCTGGGACCTGGAGTTCTGGATGACTTGAGATTTTTAAGATTCATTTATTCAAAAGGATGAAGTTTGGGGAGAGAGAAGGAAAGCTCTGCAAGTCCACGGGTGGTAGCTGAACCGGCACTGGTCGTTTGGGTACTACTGGTCAGTCTTCCTCCACTGTCCTAATGCGAGCACAGCTCTTCCTCCACCGTCTGAGCACAACTCTAACCGACGACCGCCCCGTCGCCAAAGGGGACTCGTTCCGGGTTAAAACCACGCACACGCCATGCTCTTATCACCTCCCTCTGGAAACGACCGGAAGGAATGGTGAGTCCTGAGGACACAGGAGTGATTTCCCAGCTTCTGCAACGCTGTGTCGCAGTGGCCACCCCTCCACCACCGCCCTGGGACGTGGCCCAACGGCAGAGCAGCAGCGGAGCCGGGATGCTGCAGCCTGGCGGCTCCTGGAGATCCCCGCGGCTCAAACCCAGCAAGGATGGCAGCGGGGCAGAGACGCACAGTTGTCCTCGAGCCCTGTTCATCCATAGGGCAAACAGCCTCTTTCCAGGGGCATTTTCCACAGATTAGTTTGGGAAATAATGTCTCCCACGTGATATTTCCCCTCTGCCATGGGGAACGGGCGTTGGCAGCTCCTGTTTCTCAGTATGTGTGCTCCTCTCCTTCCCTTCTCCCTTCCTCTCATTTATTTCAGCGTGTTTTTAAGAGCCACTGTTCCAAATCAACTGCTCGCTGTAATAGAAACGTCACTTTTTCTCACAGTATTTATTCCTTACAAAATCTTGTGTGACATGCTAGGTTCCCATGGATGTAGCTGATCATTTTTATTTTGTAAATATAATTACCTAACTTTACATTAACTATATCGTAATAAACTATTTTTGCACCACCCTTTGCATGCTGCGTAGTGAGGTTTTTCTTTCAAAAAGGGCACTACTACAGAAAGAATAGAGCAGAGGCCAGAGCCTGAAAACGAGCTGTTTGCTTTTACAGTCACACTTCACAAAACACAACAGGCAGCATTTTAATAGCAATAACGTGTTCAGAGTACTAATGCTGCTGAAGGGGGTTTACTAGAGAATGTGGCTTCTCCCACAGTTGCTACTCTCCAGATAACAGTAATGCTTTTTCCCCCCAGACCCATGCAAACTTCCTCAAACAGAACAGATCTGCAATCTGCTGATGTTCCTCCATGTAACCTAAATAACTCCTAAAGATCTACAGGAATTTCTAATGATTTGGATCTTTGGAACAACCAACCCCCAAGGACTGCCCAGAGGGCAAAAACCAGAAGATGATGTTGAGCTTTTCTGTGAAAATGGTTTATTCAGTAATGACAAACACAGCACTATTGCATCAAGCAAAACTGGTAACAAAACGTTAAGAACTTTTTTCATTTAGAGTTGTTGAGGCACTTTATATCCACTGTAAAATAATTCTTAACACAGACACTCGTTGTTAAATTCATAAGTTTACACCCATCTCTGTTCTACCCTGAGCTGTAGGGAAAAGTTCTTACCTCCCTCCCCTTGCTATTCCCTCACTGTCCCCACCGTGCTGCTGCCAACACAGGCGGTCACCAAAGTCACCAAACCTGACCAGGACACAGTGTCCCCACCAGAGTGAACTGGGGTCTCCTTCCACCACTCCACTCTGAAGTCAGTGACCAAACTCGAGCCTCATCTGCTCTCAAGATCATGTGAGCCCAAAGAACAGTTTCTCTCATTTCTCTGCAAACTTCCGTACACTTGTTTGCTGGAAGAGAAGCTGTCATCAGCATCTGTTCTGATGCTTTTAGGCTGGAGCTCTGCTAATCTTAAACCAAAGGAAATGCGTACAAAATCAAAACATCTAATTTCTGCCTTCTTACTTCCCACAGATTTCCTTTTACAAACTTTCAACAATTAAAGCCAACAAGAAACGTAACTAAGGTGCTTAATCTCTCTATATTAAGTCTAGCTTTGCTGTAACCCTCTTAACTCTTCCTTCAGAGTTACTGGCATAGAGAAGCCATTGGGTTACAATACAAGCCATTCTGCTGTATCCCAAGTGGGAAAATGTCCATTTCACCACCGAAACACCTACCCAGCGCTGTATCCAGCACTGTCTGAACATACCTTGTCTGCACCGGGGCATGGCAACAAGCCTGCCTGTAGTTTTAAGCTCTATAAATGCATAGCTGTCACAGCTATGCTCACAAAACTCAGCAAACGTTGGGTCAGTCCCATTCCCGCAGCAAGGGACCGGTGGCACTTTAGAGTAGAAAGCACTTTGTTTCTCCAGAGGAGCTTACCTAAATTACACCCAGATGGATAATACAATGATGTCTGTATACAAAGTTCATGAATGTTATCTGTCAAGTACTCTGCCAGCTCTGGGAGGCAGCTCAGTCATTTATTGTCTTTGGAAAAAAATTTGTAGCTGATGGGGTTGTACTCTTCCCAAATCCTTTCAAACTCATCCAGGAAAAGCTTCACATACTCAGCATCTTCCACGACCAGCACGTTCTCCCGGTTGTTCTGGATAGCTTGGGTGGTCCAGTTGAGGGAACCTGTGATGACCATCCTCCTGTCCACGATAGCGAACTTGTGGTGCATGTACCCGTCCTCCTGGTCATGGCGCACCTGGATCCCTACAGAGACATAACCACTGCTTCAGCGGTAACCGAAGCACTCACCTGGGGGCCTGAGCGCCCGGCCGTGCGCTGCCCGCGGAGGCCCCTCGCTGAGGGGGGGCCGCCTCACCGGCGTGCCGGAGGAGGCCGATCTGGGAGCCCCGCAGCCCCATGTACTGCGCGTCGGTGACGATGCGGACGCGGACGCCGC